TAAAACATTTTTGTTGTTATGTTTCATATGCTTGGTAAACATTTTGCTAGGAATGTGACGCATTATGTAAAAACTCGAGCAAGGTTTCTTATGATTTAAATATTAACAAAACGGTACTTCATCTGTTTGAACAAAGCAAAGACTTTATCGTCTGTCGACATTTTAATGCTGAGGACAATGCTTCCGTAGTGCTGACACTATGGAAAAGTGCCTCGGAAAAAAAAAGCGAGAAAAATATTATTGTAAAATAAAAATACTCGAAATAGGATATTTTCGAGGAAGTGCAGAATAATAAATTTTATGTCCAATTTATTTTATGCACAGTTTTATTTAGGTTGGTTACTCTGTTTGTTTATTTAGGTTAAATCTTGAAAGGAGTTTTTGACCCTCTATTGATTTTCTTGAAATTTTACATTCTTTCATATTTGCATTGACATCAAAGAGAAACTTAAATGAATTAAATGTAATTTTACACTATCGGATAACTCAAACATTGAAAGAAAAGGGATATCACAGACTTCATTGTTATGCTTATTAGAAACAACAATTTCCTACATTCAGAGACTGTCATATTTTTTAAAAATTTTTGCCTCTCTACAAACAAAAATATACGAAAAATAGTTTTAAATTACATATTATATTTAAATGCAGTAATAATTTTTTAAAGATTTTTATCACAAAGTTCTTGATCACATGTCATTAAAAAATAAAATAGTGAGACATCTATAAAAAGCTTTACCGCGACATTTCTAAACATTTAAAGAACAGTAAAAGTAACACAATAGGAGTGACAGGTATAAGAATGATCGCATGCATATTTCAAATTCTTTTCGTCAGTTGTAAATTTAAAACCTTTGTTATCAGCCGCATGATTTTATTTTTTGTAAAGTATATCCAAGAATGTTTTAATAGCTCTAAAGCTATTTTTTTACGTTTAATGAATTTAATAAAACTTAATGAATTTAATAAAATTTAATAAAACTAATTTAAAAAAATACAGTACATTTTGTGTTATATTTTATATTTAATTTTCATTTTTAATATAAAACAAACCATTTATATTAAAGGGAAATTAAAATTTATATTCTTATATTTGTGTATAACTTGCGTGATTATGGATGTACTGTAAATAAGTGAGAACGTCTATTTTTACTTCCTTGTACGAAGTAAAAAGGAAGTATTGTAATCGCGAAAAGTTTCAGGCAGCATATTTCAACGAAAATATCCATTTTGACCGCTATCGAATGCAATTTAATGATGTTTCTGCGTGATATCTGTACGTAAGGACAGAATAAAAGACTCTTTTCCTTTTCAAAAAAAATTATAAAAACTGCTTTAAAATTAATTCTGAAGAGAATTTTTCGTGGCGTCTGTACGAACGTATGTACGTACGTGCGTACGTATGTATCTCGCATAACTCAAAAACGAGTAGCCTCAGGACGTTGAAATTTTGTATATATACTGCTATAACATGTAGATGTGCACCTCGTATTTTGGTTGCAATCGGCCGCACCAAACGTATATAAATATTTATATATATATCCACTCTGTTACCCGGCTCAGTGATATCAGTTTCTTTACTTATATGTTTGTAAATTGTACATTTTTTGCTTTAAAAATTATTGTATTATGTTGTTTTTATCTTCCGGTTAAGGTTTTTTATACCTTTAATAAATCTGTATGCAATATTTTTAGAATTATCAACAATTTTAAAGTAGTCTAAGTGCCGCTAAGCCTTTTTTAATGGCGGCCATTGATGTTTACATTTGAAACAGGAGACTAGTGGATTTGTTGCCAATCTAGAGAAACTTAGCTTCGCAACAACAAAGATAACGCATTCATTTATTATTGCCAATTAAATCATGCTTAATTCTTTCTGGAATTTTTTCGAAGAAATAAGTGTTTAAGATTTACTTCGTAATTTTTAATATAGATATTTTGGAGTTTTTATGTATTTTTCTTTTGCCTTCTCGCGAAGTGAGAACTGAATTAATTGAATGAGAAATACTCAGTCGTCTGTGAAAAACAGTTTCTTTTTTTTGTTTTGTTTGCTTAATTTCTTTTATACATCATTCTAGCTTTATTATATAGTATTTGAATAGAACATGTGGCAACGATTAGATAATTCTGTTCTTTAAAATGATATAAATTTTGTGCATTATGAGTTATAATAATAAGTTAACTGTTATATAATTATTGGATTATATAACAGTTAACTTAGTTTTCGTTATATAATTATTATATAAGTTAACTGTTATATAATTATTAATACTGTTAAGTGAATCTAGCGCCAGAGTGTCGCTATGGTACACAAATACTAGAGTGAATTTTAAAGAATGCATTTATTCTATTGTGGTTTATGCGCTGTCGGCGAAGTAGATTTAATTCAATCCAATACGTTTAAATGAAATGCAAGAAAAAATGCGTATAATTTAATATTCCGTACAAGGAAGTCATGTGGTGTAAACATCAGATTTTTTTTAAAGATAAATGCACTAAAGAAACAAGGTTTGCAACTAATGCTGTAAATAATGGAAGACCTTTTTTATAGCTGCAATTTTTAATACCATGTAGCTGAGGTTTTCAGTTTAATCGGATTTTCAGCTATCCGAGAATTTTTAGTTAAAAGCTTCGGTAAAAGAGTCTACGGTACCTCGGTATTCAATCCGTAAAACTAATCGATCTGATAGCAGTCGAGTATTTGACCGAGCATAAGTCCTTATTACTTCGGTTAACTAAACTTCTGTTGTACTATTAAACAGTAAACGAAATAACATACCAGTTAATGTTTATAACGAAATTTATCTACTTACTAGCGGGCTGTGGCCAAAGCAAAATGTGTAAGTTCTCTGTAATGAAAATGTACAAATGTTCTGAAATGAAAATGTATAAAAACATTTCAATATGAATGAAATCAGTTCATTCTTTCCAAGCAGCAACCAATTCCTAAATAAATTTTTACTGCCAAACCAGGAAACAAAAACTTCTGACATATCAGGTTAATACGTATGAACGTCATAATTTAAATTTAATGTAATATAACAATAGTTTCTCAATATCAATAAAAGAATTAACGTTCCATTAATATACCATGTCAGTTATACTAACCTGAAACAAAAACGTTGCCAACAGCAGCTATTTCTTTGAAATACTGACATTAATGAAACATTTTCGACATTATAACGACGTTACATGCGTGTTTTCTTCAGCGTCAGAATATGACCTTATATAATAATAATATGTTTAAAGTTTAGCAATGATATTTGTTGGCCAAAAGGGTTTTAGAGACATTAGATATATTTTTGGACCAGGCAAGATGAAAAATGAGCAAACGTCTTCGCCGGGAGTCGAACCACGGACCTCTGGAATACCGGTCCAGCGTGCAGAACCACTACACCACGAAGGCACGCTAGAAAAGCGGGAGAAATACCCTATATACTCCTCCTTTTTAATCCTGGGTGCGGAGAAATACCTTATATTCTCCGCTCCCATGATTTGGCGACTGGGTCCCCTAAAAACCCCAGTCGCCCAGTCCATCATCATCACACACCCTTTTTAGTTCGGGCTCCACAGTAGAGAGGATTTTTTTCGAAGCCAGAGAAATGAAAAATTAGCAATAGCCTTCGCCGGGAATCGAACCACGAACCTCTGGAATACCGGCCCTGTGTGCAGAACCACTACACCACGAAGACACGCCAGGAAGGTAGGAGAAATACCTTATAGGGTGTTAGACCCAAAAGGCTTTAAGTCTCAAAACAGCATTTTGTGTCGTTTCTGCGTTGATTCACTTTTCAAACTGTTGCCTTCAAATATTATCGCCATGTATTGTATTTAAAGAAATAAATAATGAAGAATCTCCCTAAATGCATGAATATTTCTCCCACTGTGAAAAAACAACGGTACCTAGAGCCATTTTTGAATAACGTAGTCCTCCAATTGAACATGGGCATTAAGAAGCCCGAATTTTAAATTTCGAATTTGTTTTATTACCTATTTCAAATTTTGTAAAACTTTAACGATTTTTTGATTAACAAACTCGACGATTTCAAAGCGAGCAATGGCAACACTGGACGGAAAAAAACATTTTTATCTTCAGCGCGCGAGACTGTGTATCTGAAGTTCTGAAGATATGCAAATATTTTGTGATATTGCTGTTGCACTAAATTTTATGTAGTTTAAGTGCGAAGAGCATGATATTTAATAAATAAAGGCAACACATAAAACGTTGAAAAAACGCTCTCATGGGCGTAATATAAAATCTGAAAGCTTTCAGATTTTCTCTTTTTATTTCATATTGTTTAAAACTTTTTATTAACAAAGTCTACGATTTGAAATCGAGCAGTGGCAACGCTTTTTCAAATAAAGCAGATTATTATCTCCAGCGCTCAAAACTGTTGCCACTCGGAAAAATAGAGCGAAAATTAGCGTTTTCTGAGTTTTTAATTAATATATTATTTGATTAAAGCCGTTCGAAGATAAGAACAGTCGAAATGGCTTCCCACAACGTTTTGGAATCGTAAATAATATATTTAATATTTGGGAATGCTATTTTCATTTCGTATTTTGTAAAACTTAAAATTTTTTATTAAGAAACTCTATGATTTGAAAGCGAGCAGTGGCAACACTTCTCGAAATAAAGCAGATTTTCATCTCCAGCGAGCGAGACTGTTGCCACTCGGAAAAATGAGGACGAAAATTAGCTTTTTTCCGAGTTTTTAATGAATATGTGGGCTAATTAAAATCGTACGAAAATGAGAATGATCAAAATGGCTTCCTATGAGTTTTTGGAATCCGAGGGTCCTTCTCTCGAAGCTCATTTCCCCGGCGTACCAGAGGAGATAATGCCACAAACAGATAGACAAACGCGCAGAGATTTTAATAATATGGATTAACAGTTTTGTGCATTGTGAATATTTTTTTAATATGTTTTATTTAATTTGAAAAATTTAACTTCTGTATAGCTTTCTGGAGTGATTTATAGATTGATCTATTTATTGCAGATATTCAGGAGACAGCAATGCATCTAGTGAAGTGGTCAACGAGGACGACTCATTCTACGTTAACATGACCACCGAGGACCTGCTACAACCGGGTCACGTTGTCAAAGAACGATGGAAAGTGGTGAGTTAATATTTTTATTATATTAGAAAATTAATCGGAGAATTCGGATACACAGTGTTATTTTTCCGGCCCCGAATTCTATCCGTAGAATACTCTTATAAAGTTCCCGAGTTGCTCGGAAGTATTTTAGCTTTTTAAATTAAAATCTAACATTTTGACCATGTAGACATGTCTAACATTTTACCATGACCATGTAGATGTCTAACATTTGACCATTTTTAAAATCTAACATTTTGACCATGTAGTCACTGATTTTCCTTTACCTAGTATTACAGTAAAATAAATAGTCGCTGTATTCTCCGCTTCTCTTATCAGATATCATAACACAGATGTCAAAACATATCTAATTTTGCAATATTAAATTATTTTTGAGGTTACAATTAAGAAACAACAATGCATCGAGTTATCCGGCTCTTACGTTAATTTTTGCTCCAAAAGACACATCGAGGTTTCTTTTCAGGGTAAACTTTAATTACTCAGGCAAACAATTAGCATTTTCCATTTATAACAATCTACACTTATTCATTTATTTATATACAAAAATATACGTTTTTTCAAGTACCGTTAACGTATTTTGGAATATCGTCATAAGGGCTCAAACTCCGGTATAGTAACCTATATTTCTGGAGACTCCATTTCCTATAAAACACTGGCTCTAATCTTATATACAGTTTTCCTCCAATTTGCACCTCTTTTCCATGTAGCTTACTCGTAGTGATATGGTAACGTAGCTATATGTGATTCATGAATTCTTCAGCCAAGTTATGACCACTTGCAAGCTAAGTTTCCATGTGGATTTCTCTCTGGATTCCATCTGGATTTCTATTTTCAGTGCAGTCATTGATTTCCGTGCGCAGGTTATCCTTGAATGGCTTGTTTATTATCAATACTTTGGAGACAAACAATCACTCGTGTGCCAACCATTATTTTTTTTTTTCTGGAAAGTTTTCTATGTCTTTGGAATGGTGAGCGCTGGCTGTAACCTAGGCCAGCAGACTTCTTAGACTACCTCAAAAATCAAGTGGTGGCATTATATCGACCCACTTCTTTATAATTGCTTGTGTCCGTCAGGGATTATCACTTTCAAGAGCATAAATGCCTGAAATACATGTTCAATGTTATCTTATTTGTCCTTAGTAATGACTAGAAGCGAGGCTTTTTTTTTTATCCGGATGAACTGCCAAATACCACATACACTTTTTTTAATCAGTAAAGGTAAACTTAGATTGTCGATGCATGCCTTTGATCGACTGTCATTTGAGATCCTTGACACTTAAACACTTCAGTTTAATCCATGGCAATCATGGTGGAGAGTTGTTTATAAAAGCTGACGTACATCAATAAAAGACTTAAAAACAACTTACGTTTCAGTATCTTCCAGCTTGAAGAGTCTTGTAGATCATCTTAGAATAGTTGAAAGAAGCCATCCATCCAGTGTTGTTATGCTTTAAATTCTTGGCTTTCTTAAGCTTGAAATTCATAAAATACACTCTGCAATATAAAAGTAATGCACTAAGAAAGGGTTATTAGATTGAATACTAGATGAATCTCCAGCGCATTGCAAACAAGTATTCGGATGGTGTATAAATTTTTTAATTATTTTAAATTTTCGTATTATTAGCACTCTAAATTTAGGAGTGGGATCAAAATTTTAACTTCTTTTTTTAGTTTTTTATATTTCTCATCAAAAATCAGATCATAGTGTTGTTCTCTTGATGCGACTGGTATCATTTTTCATAGCCTCGATTTATAATTAACGCTAATTTTTCCAGCCAATCTGCTGGTTATACGTCTTCCTTATACTAAACGTAAACAGTTTTAATTATTTTATCAAGCTGTTATGTGTAAAATTTAATAAAATTAAGGTTTGTTACAAAATCAGTAAGAAATCTTCTCTTTTTTTTCTCATGGGAAATTGAAAACAACCCTTTGGTTTAAGTGTATAAGCTCAGTATTAGCGAAGTTTCAAACAAGCCACGCTGTAGTTATTTCGGGTTAAGCGTGGAAACTGAACACAGTGAAATTGTAACTGGAGCTTAGCTCAAGTATGCCTGGGTGTTATATAAACTTAATACAAGCTAGTTCTCTAACTTTCTGCTGAACTACTTGCCACTCAAATCTGCATAAATTTTCGTAATGAGCGAGTCTGTGACGAAATGCAAGAATAAAAAAGATGTAACCTAAAACTCAGTTTGGCTTGTAAAACTCGAATATAATGCCACAAAATGTATTAGAAATATAAGAGTGATCGGAAAATAAAATCATAAAAAATTACTAATCAACTAATGTGAAATCGCGGCCAACTGAATATAAAACACAATCTTACAGTAACATCTTGACCCTGACATCGCACTGTAACATTGCACTTTTTTGATGAAAATTCTTATATCAGTTTCACTGAAAGCATTGAATTGATTTTTTACTGAGCATTCTTATATAGTTATTTTAACTTTCATATGTTCGTTATCACTGAAAAAGGTGATTGTTCCAGGTAAAAAAAATTGGCGGTGGTGGATTTGGGGAAATCTACGAAGGCCTGGACCTAGTGACAAAAGAACTTGTCGCATTGAAGCTCGAGTCAGCGAAGCAAGCCAAACAAGTGCTGAAGATGGAAGTCGCAGTTCTGAAAAAGCTCCAAGGTCAGATTATTTTTTCCATGATTTTTTCTTGAAATTAAAAGAATAACAATGATTATATATTTGGCAGACTTGGTATATGCGTGCTATTTCTCAAATAAATGCAGGTGGCACTTATAATAAATATGTTGTTTATAACATCTATCGCCCTTTTAATATCAAGAAGCACATTTCTCAAACTTCTCGAAGATAAGTTTATTTTGAAATTGCCATGGTAGTATCTTTAATGCTAATATCTTTTTATGTGAAAAGAAAGTGTTAATTCTTTCTCCACAGCAGATATGTATCTTTTATTTCGTATAACATTTCATTCATACAGATAAAGATTATAATGAATTAAGTAGTGTTTATTTAAATAAATGTATTCTTAAAAAATAGGAAAGAATGTAGTTATAGCTTTTATTTTGTTCTATATTGCCTTTTATAAGCGTTATAAAGCGTTTCAGCCTCACCGGTGAATTCATTTCAGAAGCTATGCAAATGAGAGTTCAAAACGTACCTACATTTAAATCAATCTTAATTCTTCTACTAGCACGTTGTGGCTGCATAGGAATTTTAATTCTTGTTCAACAACGAGAGAGGATGCATGTACGTTATATAATGTTACACCAGCGCCTTAACAAAGGACATCGATATGAAATAAATATTGAGTTCTCTAGCATCGGAGAACTCAATATTGCTTCTGGTGATAATTCTGAACAAGTAGGACGGAATGTTTCTGTGGTTGAAAGAGAATCCTGAGACTGATCCGAAGAATTACACAGAACGCAATTAGAAGATTCGGGATGTCATATGCGGACAAAGGTGAGATGGGATTATCATCTTATCAGATTCTCTTTGGCTGACAGTATTATTGCAGCACTGGCAATACTGTTATATTCACCAGCATCATTTGCCACAGCATGTCACCGTTTATTACCGCCTGAATTATGGGCGCGCGGAAGCCACTTCTCAAGTTATCTTTAGGACGTCTGCCACTTATTGACAGACTGCAGTAATGAATCGAACGTCATGTGTGGCAGTATAAGTGGTATGACATCGTCCTATCGGATGAATCATTATTTGAACATAATGAACGGACACAAGGCCGCTGCCGATGGGATGAGACACACACAGAAGAGTATATTCGTACCCGACATACCGCGCAAACATGGAAAATTCTTCTATGAACTACTATTGGCTTTACAATAAATTACCTGCCATGAGAATTCAAGCTATCGTAATCAGTGCTTAATATGACAGTGACATTATACGAGCAGTCGCACTTATGTATTTATAATGTCTTCTTGAGGTAATTTACCAGCAGAACAGTACCAGTGCTCATTTATTGCGACCAAAAACATGAGTCTTCTTCAGAAATAACAGTGTCGCATTTCTTCACTGACTGCTTAGATCGCTTTATTTATTTAGTCATCAGAAATGTGTGTTATATGAACCTTGATGTATTATGTCAGTTCCCTAGAAAATCTTAGCGAAGTGTGGACGCATGTTAATGTAACTTGGGTAATCTTGAATATAACATCACTAAACGTTTGTCAGGTTAACGTCACGACGCGTAGAGCGAGTATTAGAAAGGAAAGAATGATTTGAGGCTGATCGCACATTTTTAGATGATTTTCCTTTGCTGTAAAAAATATTCTGTTTTGAAATTCTTTTTTTTAACTGCAGCTATATTTTTGAAGGTATAAATGGTTGCCTACTACTTGGCAGTTTTGTTTTTATGCAAAATGGTGCTTCTAAAGAAACAATGTATGGAAGGCTATGGTTGTGCTGTTTCCAAAGAACATTATTCGTATCTAGTTATTAAAAAACGCTCTGAAAGCCATGTTTTTTTATATCTAAAGCTACGATAGGTAATATTGTCAACACGAAAGTGAAAAAAAGGTCAAAGTTTGGTGTCATGCAAAAAAAATTGTTCCAGATCCAAGCAAAAAAAAGAAGTTTCGAATGTTTCAGAGGTAAGATTTTTAATATTAAAAGAAAATCCGCCAATGCAAAGTACGGTTTCAAAATCCGTAAAATGCTCAGTATCAACTGTAAACAAAGTGGTTAATGCTGATTTGAATCTTAAAAAGATTATCTTTCAAGAAAAAAACATAGCATGCATTGCGTTTTCCACGACATAGCGCAGAACGCGCTGCAGAATTCTTTATGTGAAACATATATCTGAACAAAATTGGAAAAATGTCGCCACTATAGATGGATCTTGGATGTATTTTAATGACTGCAATAAAACGAGATCCATTTATCATCATCAAAAGGGAGAAAAAATCTTAAAACATGGTTCAAAGAATCTAAAGAAAGGTTTTCAAAGAGATTTATGATTGTTGCTTGTTTTTCATATAACATCAAATTAAAAATAAAGGGAGTGGGAAAATATGTTAAGATCAACTCCGCACATTATCAGGAACATATTTTATACCCAATTTTCAAATATGAAATACCTACTCTTCATACACAGAGCCATCAATGAATAGAACTGCATCAAGACACAAGCAGCCACACGTCAAAATCCACTTTTAAGTTCCTGGAAATATGGAACAAAAAAATGGGTGTTAAAGCTTATACCCTTCACCCACATATTTTTGCGCTTTTGGACCTTTAAAAAGGGGACTGACCAGACGTCGACCAACAACCCTCCTTAGACTTTTGTAAAGCTGCTCAAGAGGAACGGGACAAAATACCTCTTCCTCTACTGCAAAAAAGCTTTATTGTCTTGGAAATCATGGTTTAGAAACATAGGGAAGAATAACTGTTATTAAATATAACATTTAAAATAGAAAAATGATAGGTAAAATATTTCTGTAAATACAATGAAAATCGTCTAAAAAATGCGTGAATACCCTTTTGTATGTTGCGAATATAAAAGCTGTAGCTGCATTCCATCCAAGGTTCTATTTTTTTAACCTCTTGAGTCTTTTGTTCCCGTTTCCAGCAGGGCAAATTTTAAACTCCCATTAATTTTTTATCAAAATAAAATCTTAAATAATTTTCTCTCTATTTTATGTAAATAGTGCCATCTTATTTTGTTTGATATTTTCATTAAATGCGTTTCTTCCTCATTAGACATGAATAGCTTAGTACTACATTAAATTGTGATTTAATTGAGTACTTAATGATTATTTGAAAGTTTCTAAAGTTGCACGTAATCGTATTTATTTCCTCTTTCATTTAATCATGTAAAGGAGCATTTCGTAAATTTAAATTTGAAAAATGCATTGAGAAAAAGGATTCTAAATGTCAGTTCATTGTTTCATATACATTGGAACCATTGTTATACATAATCTGTCATTTCAATGGTCAATGGTCTTATTCTGCTTATCATGAATAATTGTTTTCTCGCTCTTTATTCTCTTTTTGTTGCATTATAAAAACTTCAGAGTCATACTTAACCACTCATTTGGGACCATTTGTTTCTTTCATTTAACAATCTATCTTTTTCTCAAAAAAAAACCGTTAAGTGTCATTTATTATGAATAGAATATCACTCTTAGCCTATTTAGATGATGTTCTCCGAATTTTTAATATCTTATAAAATACCTTCTCATTGTGCTTGGTAACCAGAGTCATCTTGTGTTAGTTTTAGCGATTCACATTTTAATTAATACGCAGAGATTCACATTTTAATGGCATTCACATCACATTTTAGTTACAGTTACTTTAATAACTGCTGTAACGAAAATACGCAGAGTAATTGCTAATATCTAATAACGTTTCCAACTTCATGCTCACTGATATTCTCAAAGAGTTCGTTCAATAATAAAAGTTCATTTTTGTAAAAGTTATTGTTTTCACATCTGAATATCACGTCACCAGCTTGTATTTTTCAATTTTTCCCGTTGTGATACGATATTCTTTGCACCAGTAACAGACATTTCTTCTGTCTCTTACATAAGAGATATTATATTAATGTATATACAGAGCGAATTACCTAAAACTTGAAAGAAAATTAGAATATCAGTGGGGGTTTTTGAAGGATTCTAGTGCGAGTTAGTCTACGAACTATTGTAATATCAAAAGTGTAAATATCGACAGTTGTCTGCTCAGTGGTGTTAAAAATGTGGTCAAGAAGGGAAGATTGGCGTTAATTATGAAGTGGTAAATAAACAGGTGCGTTAGGGATCATAAGGGGAGATATATTGTAATAGAAAAGTTATTAGGTCTCATTCAGTATCAGTATATCAAGAATAAAAACTTGAATGGAGCTACAGAGTTCTCCTCTGTTCTTAATTGTATATCAGTAATATATATAAGGATGTATATATGGTACCAGAATGTAGTCAAATTATATAGGATGCTAAAAGTTTTGAAGTGCTCTTTTATGTACTATTAAACATTTTAATAATATTAGTATACACTTTTTTATTATTAATAACATATATCTCCTTATAATAGTAAATTAATAATTATCAAATGAATTTAATGAATATTTATTTGTTTATTAACATTTCATTATTACGTTACTTCATTATTTTCGTCTAGGAATTTTCTCCCCCCCCCTTAGCAATACATGCATGTAAGTCACGAGGCTAAAAACCACTGCTATTAAGAAATAAAATCCGATCCAATTTATGTTGAACTGCACTAATTGTTTACGGAAAGTGTCCTAGTTTTCAAAAAGCTTCGTATCATCTAACATGAAATTAAGTACTTATCCAGCTTAAGAATGATTTTGTGTGCTTATTTAATTGAATATGGCAAAGCATATGAGGATTGGCTAGGCATGGTTTCATGGTTTCATAAAGTTTTCTTGGGAAAATGGACTCATACTTGCATTACCTTAGGCATATTCACGAAAATGCTTACACACAGTGGTAGGCTGTAGGAGGGCTCGTTCAATCCATTTGTTAATTTGCATCTAATTTTCAAGGTCCCCTTTTTTTCGCTAGTTGATTCATTCGAAGGAAAATACATGTTACTCACTGAACGTCGCACGTTAGTCTGAATAATCTTTAAACTCAATGAACAGTATATTTCTGTGACAAAAAGACTGTGCAATCTATTTTACATTTAGCGAGTTTGTGCCGAATAAGTTTATTAATTATTTTATTATCTATTTGATGTAATTTCTGCAAAATTTTGCAATTAGTGTATTTTTGTAAATTTAAATTTTATTTTTTTAAGATATTTTCTTTTTGTTCTCAAATATTTGTATTTTCTATTTTTCTAAGAAGTGAAACATTTAATTAGATTCTGATACTTTGTTTTCATAAGAAAATGTACGAACTCTTCGTTAAAATTTTCATAGCCTACTGTAGCTTATTTATACTTTCATAGCTACTGTACTGTTAGAGTCTATTCATCCGATTTCAAACTAGGAATGAATTAACAAATCGATCTTTCCATTTATTGGTCCTATCGACTTAAGTACAGTGAGCCTGAGTAAAAAGGGGAAATATCTCTCCTAAAGATAAAAGCCACTATAAACGCATTTCTAAATAATAATTTTAAAATATAACGCTCCTTTCAAAAGATTTAAATTACAAAAATAAATATATATATTGAAAATTACAAAAGGAATAACATATATGTATTTGTAATTACGAGAATAAGTATTTCTATATGTGTGCAATATTTTAGATCATTTCCATTTTCCCCTGTTGATATTGGTATATTAAAAATATATGGAATAATTAAGTTGTATCTAGTTAGTAATACAAAACATTACGGAAAGTATGATGCGACACATTTTTAATCACTATAATTACTTCATTTTGAAATTATAACATTTTCGTAAGAAATTAATACCACTGAAAAATAATATTATTACACTAAAGAATAAACGAGATTGTCACAAGACCGTGTTGTTGAAGTTTTTCTAATTTTAATTCATAACACATCTCCTATATAAACATATTAGACTGAATTATAAACCAAGTATTATTAATCAGGTAATTTCGAGAAAAATAACAAACTAAACCTAAGCAAAAAATATATACATAACATTCAGAATTCTAAATGTTTACATTAACTTTTCTCGCAAGGCCTGCGGGGAAAAAGATGTCAAACGTTCTTTGGTCAGACGACTGCAAACGAAGGGTGACATGATTAATTTTGTTTTCAACAACCACATTACCGTTTCAATTAATACCATAACAGTGATTGAATTTTGGAATAATTAGTTATAAATAATACGGTCAATTTAAGATGTAATTTATTGAATGCACAACGACGAAATATTAGGTCTGCATTTGGAATAAATATTTTGCACTCTTTCAACTCAAAATCACCCTGCCGTTAGACATTATGAGCACTGATATTTATAAATAGCAAAGGCCTAAGCGTTAAAATACTTACTAAGTACATATAACAGTGTAAAGTGCATAATAATCTGAATAAAATGAACAAAACATATTTCAAACAGTAATTGCAAAAGTTTTGTTACTTACCTCCGCTATACGACTGACAAGTAGCCAACCATGTTTTTTTCTGCTAGCTTTCAAACGCGTATTTTCCCTGATTGGCTAATCTCCAGTCAGTCACTTGATTCTTCCGCGCGGCTTCTGAAACACTATATGTAATCGTACAGGCGAATCGTCTGTACTCGCCACAATTCGCTTTCAAACTGTTAACATGACAGGAAATTCTTGTAATACAAAACTTTTGCCTGTAAAGAACGATCTTTTTTTTTTTATAGTGCACTCGTTCTTTGAAAGTTAGCAATTAAATTATCTTATTGTTTTCCTTTTAAGGTGCTGATTATTTCGAACAACATATTTTTATTGTTCTAGGTAAAGAACACGTGTGTCGTTTTATTGGGTGTGGCCGCAACGACAGATTCAACTACGTTGTAATGCAATTACAAGGAAAGAATCTGGCGGAACTGAGGAGAAGCCAACCGAGGGGTGCTTACAGTCTCAGTACCACACTACGCCTCGGATTGCAGATCCTTAAGGCCATCGAAAGCATCCACGAAGTTGGATTCTTGCACAGAGATATCAAACCGGTATGTCACCGTTGTTAATTATAGCCTGTCTCTACCTGTGTATTGTAACGTCTCCTTTCTCTGAAGAACACTTGGTCACCCACCCTCAAAGAAAAAACAGAGAATCCTCTTCTCGCATTGGCCGGAAGAGGGAAGCAGACTTTCCCCCCTGGTCGCAGGTGGGAGTAAGAGGAGGTTGAGATGTGGAAGAGAAAAGAGCGGACATTGGGTTGCGCGCTCTGCTGTAGTGGAAATGTATTTTAAAGTTTTTCCAAAATGTAATCTGTGCATAGTTGTATATATAAGTAAATATTTAGCCTAGAACAGGTCTTGTTTATTTGACGAAGTTACGACTATGGTACAGTGTTATCATATTAATCAGCGCTGATCATAATACCGAATTATAGCTGCATTATTATACAGCTGAGGGAATATCTACATAAAATGCTGCCAGCTGTCTTGGATTTGTTGAACTTTGAGAAATACATTATTATACTTCGTTCGGTATTGGTAGTTCTTACCACGTTCTCTTTCCGACGAAGAGACTGGTTACATGAGATTTCCGTGTTTTTCACCGTGTGTTTTGTGAATACGAATGATTTTCGCATAAAAAAAAATCCTCCAGAAAAGCATTCTTTGGCGGTAAACCTCGCATTATTTGTCTCAGTTATTTCCACTAACCAACTCATCAACAGTTATAATTTGCAAATCGCCTGTTAATCTTATTTTATACTTTCTGTATAAAGAAGCATACCTTTCTAAGTTTCATTATTTGGACATTTTAGTTTAATTCTATTCATTTCTATCATTTCGTAGTATATCATCGATTTTATAACTTATTCCGAATCATGAGGTCGAAGACCTTTGACGTAACTATTATTTCAATTGACTGAACAAGGGGTTATGATATCTAGTCTATGCAGTGATAAGTAAGAATATACATGTGCAATGCCAATAACTACTTCCTCTTCATGTAAATTTATGATTCACTTTAATCTTTGTATAAAATATAATACAACTTTTATATTTCAGTTTATGACACTGCATACCCGCCGACTTAGTGTGTATTATACCTATATTACGTGTAATAAAAGGCAGTATAAAATACACTGTTATAATACAAGTATATAATTCCGTCTTATTCATCGCGTCTCAATACCTCATAGACCTACCAGCAGCCAAATTGTAAAATTGCTGTACATTGGCAGTTCGACCTGGGTACAAATCCCGGCGAACTCCATGGTTTCCATGGCGCCCTCATGTGTGAAAGCCCCATCATGATCAATCTTATTTCTGCAGCAGCTTTTTGCAGTGGTTTTACGAGGTAGGAAAGCTATTCCCTCCTCGTAGGAAATAGCTGTCTCATGCTTTATTGTAATCAAATAAATCAAACCAAAGCAAACTTCGTGTTTAATATGACTAAGAGCCAGTTTCCTATAGGAAGCGCTCCACGAAGGCTTAGGATAGGTTGACTGATTAAGGCAAAGCAAAGGAGGAATGCCATCGTAGAGGACGTTTTAAGGGAAACTCGCTCATCCACGTTACACGTGGCGAAAACCATGAAAACCATCCACGCAGCCAACCCGTTTGCCGTGATTCGATCCCAGATCGAACTACTAGTGTTTAGCGACTTTACCGCTCGGCCGACATTGTAATTTAACATTAAATTCGTACATCTCATGAAAAATCATGTATATGGGTATGTGGGCACTTTGTCGTTGATCAAGGGTCTACTGTATAAGAGGTGACAATACCATTTCTGCCTAATACTTATCCAACAAATTATTCTTAATTAAAATCAAAAGTGTCAGAATTTTACCAAGCTTTTCTGAGCATAGCAACATTATTTTATGCCGCGATGTCTGAAATTGTTTCAACATTCATAACTGGTCACTGAAAATGAAAGTTAGTAGGGAATTTTCATATTCCTCACTGGATTCGCTTTTAATCGAAAAAGAAACTAAATAATCTTAGTTTTATTTAGATTTTTACTAGTGCGTACTTGTATTTTTAATAACACATAATTTTTTTCCTATAAATATTAGTTCTTTTTCTTATAGTCGAACTTCTCAATGGGGCGACTTTCGCACAACTGCCGTAATGTTTACATGTTGGACTTTGGATTGGCTAGACAATATGTGACTGCGACAGGAGAAGTTAGGCCTCCCAGGGCTGCTGCCGGCTTTAGAGGCACGGTCCGATATGCTTCCATCAATGCCCATCGGAACAAAGTAAGTTATACTCCAAGCTTGTCTATACTTATTTTTTCTGTTTTTTATGTAATAGCGCAGCCACCTTATTAAAAGTTGCCAGTTTTTCAGGGGGGGCCGAACTCTGGGCAACTATGCACATAACAGATTTACGTTTTAACAGGAAACATTGCTAATTTCATATGCTTTTTGTTATATTCCAAGTTCTAATAGGTTTTTAGACAAATTGTGACATTTTTTTGTCTTAAACTCAGTTTTAAAATATGCATTTATAGAATTTGAATGCAGTGGAAGAAAGTGATAGAAGGGGACATTCTGTATTGAAAGCGATTACTAGGAAATTTTTGTCAGAATAGAAGAAACTAACCGCGCAATAGGTTTTCGAGATAAAGACATAATTACAACGTAAAATATGTTTGCAATGTAATAAATAAATTTATATTACTTTTGCAATGCAAGTCATCATTCCTTTTTTTCTGAAAAAAGTTTTCAAGCTTCAATTATAGTAAAGTGCTTGTGCTATACCTAATTACTATTTTTTGTGCGTTAGAAACTAAATGATATGTGACTATATGTGCATCTGTATGCTGAATCTGTCTTTAATGTAAAATGGAATAGAAAATGAAGTGTCAAAAGGTCATTTTCGAGAGGGAAGTTAAAATTTTAGAATATAATTTTAAATTATTCAGTATATAACGAGGTATAATCATAAATTTGATAAATGTTTAATCCCTGAAAGAGGAAATTTGAATTTTTTACACTGTAAAAACAATATGAAATATAATAACTTATTTAACAATGTACAGCTTGCAGTTTTATAATATTCAAAACGTCAACGGATATGTTTCTTACAAAGCTGGATCCTTTTTTCCATGAAATCCCATTATTTTATTTTATAGTCTGTTGTTTTATAATTTCTGGAAAAGACCGTCAACTGCAGTGCTTCTTCTCAGAGAATCTCGATCGTTTTCAACAAGTCAGATCCACCGATGCCCTGGCTATGCAAGAATTCATCGTCAAGGTAAACAATCTGTAGTCAGCCTTTGTCACTTGTTAATTGTAAATGATGGTGAAGAACTTTTTCGGAAATTCGCTGGGATTTCATTCTACAGTGAAAAGCATTCCTGTTATTCCTTCTCTGAATATATGGATGAAGTGTTGTGTTTCCATTTATTATAAGACCATGAGAAGCCTACAAATTATCTCCTCTGATGGAGCGTTATTTTTAAACATTTGAAGAGTCACTGCGGACTTTTATTTTTTAGCCTATAAACGGAATAAATTCGTACACTGAATTTTGCTTTGCTGCAAAAGCGATAATTTTCGCAGAACTTCCGAATATTTTCTTTAATAAATTTGTATGAGTTTCCTTGATAGAGTTATCCCAATCTAAGGACATTGCTGGAATATGTAAAAGCCTTAATTTTAAAACGATACACTGTCACAGTATGATGTTGCAATCCTCAAATGACTCTTTGCAGACTTTCTTAGAAAAAGTGCAATATAACTTTTTCAAATTGTTTATAGCAACGAAATTACTTTTTAGTTGTTCCACGTTCTTTGTACTTCGATTGCGCACCATACTGATTCTGGTAATGGCGTAGAAATCGATTAAGAAAGTCTCCGCAGGAAAACTGGCATACATCTGAATTAAGAATGCGTTTCATAGGTCTGTATTTATTTAAGCATATAGCTCAGCTTGCATGTTTCACAAAATTTTACTTTTTGAAAAATCCAAGTTTTATTGCATGCAAATGTTACTTAATTTAATCTGCGTATATTTACACACACTAACTCCACATTTTGCAATTTAGATAGCATGAAAAATCTTCTTGTTGAAAATTTATTCTGAACACTAATATTATTTCGATAACTTACTCAAAGATACCAAAAATAAATGGGATCATATTTTGTATTTCTTATCCTTATCTATAGGGAAATAACATGTCATTAATTATATAGGATTATCAGGGAAGAGTCACCCGATTACAAAATTTAATATTTTCTATAATTACAAACAGAAAAGTATAAATAATATGTCATTTTAAAGAAGAAAAGTTAATTTGATTTCACAAGTGTTCGATATGACTTTAGTCACCCTTATAATATCAAAGTAAAATGCCATTTCTTGCCAAACACATTGTAATGTTTCATTATTAACTGTTTGTAAAGCATCACAATTGCGCTGTTTGAGTTCGGCATGCTTCTGGCAAAGTTTATATGAACACAAGATCTTTGACGTATCCCTAAAGGTAAATGTCACATGGGGTTAAGTCAGATTATAAGGTATTTCCCCCACTTCCCTAGCGTGCCTTCGTGGTATTCCAGATCTTCGTGGTTCGATTCCTGGCGAAGGCGGTTTCATATTTTTCATCTTTTCTGCTTCCAATTAACCTAATGACTCTACAAGTGGCGCCCGAACTAAAAGGGTTGTGGATGATGGTTCTCCGCACCCAGGATTTGGCGACTAGGTCCCCTAAAACTCTAGTCGCCCTTTAAAAAGAGGAGTATATAAGGTATTTCTCCTACTTCCCTAGCGTGCCTTCGTGGTGTAACGGTAGCACTCTGGCCCGGTATTCCAGAGGTCCGTGGTTCGATTCCCGGCGAAGGCGGTTGCATATTTTTCATCTTTTCTGCTTCCAATTAACCTAATGACTCTACAAGGTCACCTACTAGGGTAGCTGTGTAGGACCAAATCATCGACTGCACTGCCAACCAGTCCAATGGTGTGGTAGTTCTCGATTTAGATATTTACGAATCTCAATGCACTAGCTTTTTGAAAAATGAAATTTTGAATATCTTCCTTCAACTTAGGGAAAAGCCAAATTTGAAACATATCGAGGTAGGTAATACCACTCGCAGATTTTCGGCAAAAGAAAACGCTCCGTATACCTTTGATGAATATACTGTACAAAAGACATCTACTTTTAGGGAGTCCCTTAAGTATTCAATGTAAGCATGGGGATTTTGCTATCCCCAAATTCGCACTTTATGCCAGTTCATTTTTCTATTTGAATGAAAGGTGGCTTCATCACTAAATGCGAGCTGATTGCAAAAATGCTCGTCTTGCATAGTTTCATCCATTAAAAGGCAAGTAGTTCAGACGTTGCAACTCGTCACTAGACTTTAGTGCTTGCCATGCTTTGCAGTTTCTAAGGCTTAAAGTGTAAGGTTTTCCTCAACCATAGTCCAAACGGTAGATTGAGGTATCCTAAATTCACGACTAGCACAAACCGTCGTTTTTTTTTTTTTTTTTTTTTTTTTTTTTTGAACTGCGTAAAAAAGTCTCTCGCAACATTCTCTGCTGAAATACCTGGTTGCCCTGTAATTCTGCCTTTACACAGGCATCCAGTTTCTTTGAAATGGTCGTACCACCTTCTCATATTCTAAGATTTTGGTACTTTCTCCTAAATTCACGCTGAACAGTGATTACTGATTAACTTCTTGCAAAGGAGAGCACACAAAAAGCCTTCTTCTTAGATGCCATTACCACTTTTCAAACATATTACTTATAATTTTCTGTTTCTAGTTATTGAAAATATTAAATTTTGTAATCGTGTCGTGTAGTTAAAATCCAGTAAATTTAACTCATTCTGATTGTATATACTATTTTTCGTTTAAGTTACTTAGCCACAAGTCCTGGTTAGTTGTGAGCACAGAGTGTGTGCATGTTCTGTTCAGTTAAAATAAAAAGGTTCTTATAACTTCGTCAGCAGTCATCTGTTTTTCAAGACATAGCCAGAATTCGCTATATCGTCTTCAGTGGGGTCTACATTTTATACTCCCAAAATGAACACGACTCTTACCAGAGAGAAAAGGAGATAATCGCTTATACAAGTAAATGGTTTAGCATAATCAATCGACTAGTGACTGTGAACTTCCCAAAGCAAGAACTGTATAGAAGCATTAAAGCAAAGCATAGTTAAGTTTCTTTTATAATGGCGGAGTAAGTTGAAGAGTCAGTTGAGAAGTCTTAGTCTGAATATATGGCTATGTGGTGCAATTAAGAAAACTCAAGAAATTAATAATTTTGTCGGATTTAAAGTAATTTCTACAATATATCATGCGGAATATTTGTGTAGAAATAAATATAGACCATGTGAAATCCCATCACTCTTTTATTTTAGTTATAAGCCGTCTCTGAACAATAGAGATTTCTTATGAAGTGTTATTAGTAACCTAGTTGCTTAGAACTAATACCTAGGTTATTAAACCACTAGTGTACATGACGAGTGCATTCAAGAAGAATAATTGACATTTTGATCGCCTCTACCACGACCGTATATCGAATATAGAACAAATCCAAAACCACGTAAAACAAGTCTTAAAATTGCTACGTCCAAGGAAAATTTGAACCGGTTAAATTAACCGGATTTTAATTTTAATAGATTTTAATAGATTAATTTTTAATCTGTGAAAAATTATATTTAAAATTTTTTAGTCCATTATGTTTATGATGATGCAGTATATTCCCTTTAAAATACCTTTTCTTAAAAGTAAACCTCATTTTAAGTTTACCGTAGAAAATGACGGGATAGAAAAAAATTTAAAAGTTGATTAAAAGTTGATTTTAAAAGTTGATTAACTTTTAATCTCTGGAAAAAAAACTGCAGGGAAACACTTTTTTCTCTATTGCGCTGTTAATGATGCAGGATGTTCTTTTAAGATATTTGGTGTCTCTTTTTAAGTTGAAAATAAAATATTTAGCTGTAATTTCTGACTAATAGCACAAAAAAATTCATACTGCGGTCATTTAGTTAGTGTATTTATTCTAACGAAACCTTTAATAAGTATTTTTTTTCTGCATGTAAGGGGAATGAATATACTTGCAAATTTTGATTTGTTAAAAGTTAAACTGAGATGATTAGCTCGTACCATTCTTTTCTTTTGTGGGAATAAAAGTAGCACGATATATGTAAATGGTCGTCATGCTGCTATGAATTCGCAGTCTCTTGGAGATTTAAACTCGTAATAATATCTGATCTAATTTATTGTTTAATGTTTGTTCTCTTCAGGAAATGGGTCGACACGACGATCTGTGGTCTTTATTCTATATGTTGGTGGAATTTGTGAATGGACAGTTGCCTTGGAGGAAAATCAAAGACAAAGAGCAAGTAAAAATACCATTCGTTTTCTTTATTTCAATTTAACTCTTTCGTAAATATCTCAATATCAAATTTAGTAAAACAGCCTAAGTATTTTAAATCTAAAATTCTGCTCTATTTATTTGTTTTTGAAATAAAAACATAAAAAGCGAAAATTTCAGCTTAAATTGTGAAAAAGATTTTGAAACTAATTATGGATTATAAGTGGTTAATGATATCAGTTAAATTGAACAGGTTGAGTTACCTCAGTACAGTTTAATCAAAAGCATTTAATGTTATGTAAAAAACTAGTTGACAAATTATATTACTTAGTTGACGAATTATAATGTCGAAGCATTCGGTTCTTAACTTTCAGTTTACTTACTTACTGTGTGTAGAATTTTAGAATAGTTTAGCAATAGTAGTAGTAATAGTAGTTTACTATTACTAAACTTTTCTACTATTTGCGTTAATAAATTTCAATAATAGTATAAATAAGAACATATTAAAGATAAAAAATCAACCTTAGATTGTCATTAATTTAAACGTAAAGACTGTAAGGTTCATTTTAATTTCCTAACCCATTATTTTAAGTTAAATTACTTTTCTATCAAACCGCGTTTTATTTCCCTGCCAGAATGTAAATTTGCAGCGCGCTCGATATTCAAATTATGTAGAATGAAGCAAGTACTTAAAAAGTAAGTTTTGGATGGTGAAATCAGAGCGTGTTCTGCCTGCCTGAAGGCCACGTTGCTAAATATGATTCTCTAGCCATTAGAATTCTACGACGTTGAGTTAGTCTTGCCATTAGGCTTGTTTAGGCCCACTTTGGTCAGAGCCAACTTGTGCGCTAGTTAAACTGTGAATCCGTTGGGCAAGACTTGAAAATTTCATTAACTTTACTTCATCTTTGGTTTAAAGCCAGAAATATTGGCTTCTGAAAGCAAGAGTTGGTGTTGTCTGTTAAACTTTATTTGGATAAATGAAAGGCTCCTTTACATCATTTCCCTGACCTGGTGTTACTAGCAAGACATAGTAGTAATTCCCTAATTTTCCTTTTATAGGTCTGGTCTAATTGAATGCTTCCTAAGAAGACCAGATTTTACGAGACTCAATAAATTTTGATATTAAAATGACGTGGCTTTCTGCTTTCATCCTCAGTAGCACAATATCGTGAAAGATTTCATCACTTAAAATATAACAGGCACATAAAAAATATTTTCTTAAGTATATTAAAAACGTCGTGTCATATCTTGAAATTACATTTATAAGAAGCATAATTTTCTTACTTTCATTTAAGTCGATTAAGATAAAAAAAGGAGAATCAAAGCTGCTAAGCTTGTGAATAACATCAACATGCCTCCATCGAACAGCACAAATGAAGGGTTTGTGTGTGGAAAATATCTCAGAGACAAGTGGTTGCGGTGCTACTGTTAAGTGACATGTTAGAAGATTCTACAAGTAAATAAGCAGGATGTGCGTGAAGGAGATGGTGCCTTGAAAGTAAATTGTTGGATATGTATGGCGTTTTCCAGAAATGTGTGTCAGCATGATAGATTTTTTTGATCGTGTCCGTCTATAACTCTAAAGACATATAGCGTAAAGGAATGAACTCAAGTGGATTAGTATTTTCCCTGATAAATTTGTTGTATAAAACTTGTAGGTTTTCTTATGTTTGCAGTATTATTTCCGTTAGAACACAAGTGAAAAGGCTTGGAAGAGAACTGGGAGATTGACTCAGTTTATTTTAGACGGTAAAAAATGTTATTTGTTCATAGTAAAAGGCATATTTTATTTCCATTATATTGAATTTAAATGTGATGGTCTTCAAGTGCTTTATGAATGTCAATTTACTGTCAAGCATGATTCCGAAGTATCTCACCTCCCATATAATATCTTAGTCTAAAAGAACTGAAACGGGTGTAATGAACGGGTCTGTTCTTGGAATCGCATTTCGGGCACCACAGTGAGTTAGAATAAAATCTGTTATTGAAGCTGTTGGTGAATAGTCTCACGTTTCACTGCTTTAAACCAAACCGCATCGTTTCATGTCTTGAAATTCATCGAACTGTTGCGACTGAATTGTGCTTATCTTTGAAGCTAACGGCTAATTTTAAATAATCAGCTTTGCAGTCAGTTGATTTAATAACTGATGAATATACCAATAGTTATGTCATATATCTTTCTGGAGAATGTTCATCTTCTAATATAACAATATATATAATATAATAAATAGCGTATGGTAAAAATGAAAATAAAAATACCCGCCATCCTTTGTATATGTGTATTATATTAATTTGGACGGTCGAGACATGTAGATGCATATAGGTGACAGTTGAGAGCAGGTCCGGATCCCGCAACTATCTAAAGTTACACTCCGAAGTCAAGACATTATGTGGTCATACGAGCGCAAAATATCAGATTATTCTGAATGCGTTGCATAAAGTAGAATATACAGAATACAGGTAAAATATATGAGCACACAATACATTTCATAGTAGTTAGTTGTAATTATCGAGACTGGTTAACATTTTTTTGTATTCTTGACACATGCTGCCATAAATAAATTTGCCCAAAACAATAAGCGTGCCTGTTCCTGAAAAACTGCATCGGTATCTTTTAGACGTTTAAAATGTATCTGAAGCAGCGGCAAGCATTTCAAGTTGGCAGTAGTGAAGCGAGAGAAAGAATGCGACATTCAAATGGTTTAGTATTATTTATTTATTAATAATGAATTCTATTATTAGCTGAAGCTTTGTAAATAAATCGCGTGACATGAGTTAATTTTGAAATGACGCACTTGTTAGTGATTTATTATAAGCTGTTACTATTTTTAGAATGGAAAGGGTAAATTACCAAGTCAAAATACAGAACTCTTACAAAGTAAAGTTAGTATTTTACCTTACGTGTTTTTTAATTTACATATATATTTGTTCAGAATATAATCTATTACAAAATGTCAACGAAAACAATAAGAACTGTCGTAAAATATTTACATACGTATTTCTTTCATACGAAGTATTTTCACGAGCTTCGTTTGAGAAGCCAGCATCTAAAATGTTCATCAAATGGTCTTTAAAGGAATGTTCTCGCCCAGAGATATTTGTGTAACATGTTAAAGCTATCCCAATAAACTGTATTCGAAGTAGTTCATTTAGATCATCATCTTGTAATATAGTCTCATCCACCCATCCTTCCAAAATTAAACTATAAAAAAACTGTAGTTAAGCTATACATCAGGTCAACCTGATCTGAGAACACTTAATTTTGTCAAAAGTGCTTGCATCCACCAAAGCATGTAGTTTAATCATTTCTAGTCGTCATATTTTAAAAACTGCATAATAAAATTTGAGTGTTATTACAAAACAAAGAAGTGAAACAAAAGCAACATAAAGACAGAATGTTTCATTTAAAAATATTTTGGGCAAATTCGGCGAAAATGCAAGCTGCAGTATCACAGCCTCACTTCCGCCCTAACTGAGAAAAGTAAATCAAAAATAGGTACACGAAATGGTGTACCATGTATGTGAAGTAAATGGTGTAAATAAATGTTCAGTGCTATAGTTTTTGAAGATCAGACAGAACCGTTTTCAACAGCAACTGTGAAAAATGAGAAGAACATGTGCTTACATGAGAACATAAGAGAAAGTTTAAGAGTTTTCTGGTCAAATGAAAAGAAACGAAATCCTAATGCCATCTATTGATGAAACTAATGAATTGAATCAAATCAAACTAAAAAGCTTAAATTAAAAAATAAATTTGAAGTAATCTGCAACTTCAATAAGAAAGTCTCACCTGTTTAAATATTATTTAAATGAAAATCAAGCACCTGTAAATTTTCTGTTTACCAAATGAAAATTCTGCTTCATTTCGACAAATGTCCGATTCCTCTCTGTTCGTTAGTAGTTACTAAGTGATGAATACTTGTTTCCGATACTAGCTGACAGAATAATATACCAATTCTTTAAAGCCTTACCTAATTTATATTCTGGTGATGAGCGACGTAAAAGTAGAAGGATAAAAAAGAACTAATTTAAATAAAATTGATTATTTAAATAAAACCGTACAAATTGAACCTTTCAGTAGTCGAGTGAAATTAAACCGCTGAAACTGGCAGGTCTACCTGCTTTAATGTGGAAGTTAACGGGCCAAGTTACTTCCCTATTTGCAACGCAATATTTTTCCACTTAGGCAGATATTCCTTCTCTTGTATAGGTAACTCTGGCGTAATATTTTCCATAGTTTACTGAACAACAACAAAAAAGGAAGCTTACAAAATTCTGTCAAGAGGAGAAAAGTTTATCAAGAAATGCTTAATGGTAGTAACATCTGGCTGTAAACTTAATATTTACTATTTACAAATTACAAACTTGACTATAATGATGGTCATCTAATGTACTGGAATTACTATTGTGTTTCATGCCATATCTGAACCTGGAAACATCAATGTTCGGGGTTTGTCCTTTGTACTCTTCAAGCCTTAACAAGTAAGTGTCTAAAAAGAGAGTTCTTTACATAACTTTGAATCAAATCAAAAATGTATGCCTCTTTAGTGGTTTCACAGTTCATACCGAATACATATTCATCTATTTCACTTAGCTTATTCGCGAAATTCTTTGTTGAACATTCTTCGTATGTTAACTAAATATCAGTATTATATTTTAATAGTAATATTTATTATTAATATATTAGCTATTTGTAAGATTGACACTAATTAACTATATATTTATGCTTCTTATTATGAATTAATCCTTCTTATTCTAAATTATTGTCTTCCCAAAAAAACAGCAAATCTCACTAAAGCCCAGTTACGCAGACAAGAGGTAAAATTTAATTAAAAGATTGATTAAAACTACACTTTTATAGCACAGTTAAAAATTAAAAATATTAGGTACTACTATGCTCAGAGTTTTATGGACTGGAATATTTAAAGCAGTAAATCACAAAAACCAAATTTTCTCATATCGATTCAGCTCCGAAACTGAAGATTCAAATCCCTCGCCTTTAGAAACACTAAATTAATTCATTACATTCATTAACGCGGGAAGCTGCTCTTGTTCTTCTCAAGCTAATACATTGTACTTGGTGGTTGCCACAGGATTCTTCCTAAACTACATTTTAGCAGGTATTTAAACTCAACCAAACTTGCATGATGGACGAAGCTTATGGAAGAAGAAGTTACAGAAAAAAATTAACATAAAGATGGCGTGCTATCTAACATACATCTTATATTTTTATCAAGGTAAACTGTGAGATAGTGCAATATTTACGATTATTTTCATGCTGCATTTTCTGTTTATCTTATCAGGTTCAATGTTTCTTCTTACCTTCTTCGGAAACATACAATGACCTGACTAGAACAGAGAGCTTACTAAAGCTATGTTCACTAATTGTAGTAAGTAGACAGGATACAGACGAAGGGTATACAAAACCCTTTATTTTTCTTTATATACAATGACTTCCGTACTTCGGAATACAATGACCCTCCACTCGGGGTCTAACGTAAAAGATATCAAAATAAAACTAAACTCTAATTTAACTTTAGAATAAGATTGGCCTTATAATAACAGGAAGCGTATGTAGCACAGAGACTGTGAACACTACAATACGTTTAATTTATCAAGAGGATTAAAACCTCTGGCCTGGAAGGCAAATAGCAACTGCGTAACTTCTAAGGTAAGCGGCCTGCTTCGAACTCACTGCTTCCTCTCTTCTGCTTGGCAAAAAGGCCACACTTAAATACTTGGCGTTCGCCAGACAACTTTGCATAAACTCCTTCACGCTTATAATTCTGGCCGGAAGTAGAAAATAAGAAGTGATAGTAAAGATTTAAAATAAAATAAACGTTAGTAAAACTTAAGATCCTTACAATCTTTACTAGTAGTGTTATGTTAAACGTTTCGTCACCAAGGTTAAATAGTTTTACTTCTAGGTACCATGTTATATCTGAAATTCCTATATTGTTAAATGTTAAATATGAAACTACTTGCCGTTAAAGGGAGTGATCGTATAGTGAAACGTGTACAGCATTTTTGCGTTGTGAAAAAAATGCATTCCGGGACCGCGCCGTGAGAGGATCGAAAACATAAAACATATACAAGATATAAAGGAAAGGTTCATATTAAATATATAAAGAAAACATACTGTAAGAGGTTCCAGATTAAATATCAGTTTATTCAATTACAACACAATAAGAAAAATCTTAACCTCATCTGAGAGTCTGCTCATTTAAATTCATAAAAAAAAACTTAAGGTTTGTCTGGTGATTTAAAAGAAAGGAAAGGGAAACAATTTAAGGCCTGAGAGTTAAATTTTAGATTTGACGTTGTTTTTTTTACTGCTAAGGACGTTTTTGAAAAGCTTGCCTAAAGTTCAAACACACCAAAAAAATAAAACTTATTCTGAAGGGACATCTTGAAGCGGAGGACTCTTATCTTATCCCGCGTTGATGTCGGCCGGGCTCATCTTGCCACTGGTTCTAAAAATGTAGACTCCACTTCACTACTGTAGAACAGAAACAGAAGCACTGCTGCCCAGGACGGCTATCCGCTTGGTCCTGAAAGTCCTATGTCAACACGCAGGTAACTCGTTCAAATTTCGCCGGTCAGAAACGTTGTTGCTAGGAAATTACTGCTCGCCTGTTCTTACTCATCCCAAGAGCAAGCTTCACGGGTAACGTCCCAAGTAAGTTCCACCCACCAGTCAGTAAGGGAGTGAATCCAACTCCAATTTTCTTCAAGCCAGTTTTCAAGAGCAACGTCCACAAGTCCAGCAAACCCGAAAGTCAGCGAGTCCAAGCAGTGAGTGCCTAAGCGAGTCAAGAGTAAGTGTGTCTCGCCTCTTAACCAAACGCGGCCGGGGAGCATATTTGCCGCTCCCCGCCGGAAAACATCCCGCTTCGTAATTACATTTTGTCCAGCAAGCCCGAAAATCAGCGAGTCAGTCAGAGAGTCAGCCAAAAGTAAGTGTGTCCAACTCAAATTTCCTTCTTCTCCTTCACCAAACGGGCTCCCACTATGGCTTCACTTATCGCCCCCTTAATTATGGCAAAATCTTCGTTTTCAACTCCAGAATGCGGAAATAAGGGTGATCGCGCATGCGCGCCCTTCTTCACTTAGCCAACAACCGGACCCTCAATCGCCAAAAAACCTGAATGACTTACATTGAAAGACAAGTAGCAACCTTTGACCTTTCCGTCACGTACTTTCCTCTCTAAGGTCAACTAACAATGAAAATTCTTTCTCGAACATTCTAAAGCGCGCGAAATCATGACTTGGCGAAAATTGCCTCCCTTTCCCTGCTTCTTTCACAATGAATAAAAGTTTGTACAAGATTTACAAATAAAAGAAAATAAATAATATTCATTTTATACTAAATAATATTTCCCGAATCTGTTTCTCCCCAAAATTAAAGCCTTAAATTAAATAATTCAGAATCAAAATAAAATTTAAATTTCCATAAATCAAAAAATCATTCACCTAATTTTTATAACGCTATCCGGTAATTTCTCTACATAACAGTAGTTTACTGGTTACTTGTTATGCTAACTGAAGCATGTTATATATGAATTAGTGTATGCACAGCAGTCATTATTTACCCGTATTTATGTATGTATTAATGTATTCGTTACACTCATTCTTATATCATATCTTTTCATCTATTGTGTATTATGGCCTTAAGTACAACTTCTTTGTCCTAATCAAATACAGTTATGTTGCTTAGAGAGTCGTTGCTGATATCGTTATTCAGGTATATTTTATATATAGTTTGTATCATAATAGAAAAATATAACGATTATAATTTTCATGCCGTATTTTCCGTCTTACTTTATCGGTACATAGCTATGCATTTATTATATTATTTCAACCATGTTATATATGAATTACTGTATGCATAACAGTCATTGTTTATCCGAGTTATGTGTGAATTACTGTATTCCTAACAATTATTGTTTCTTTATATATCATTATTTTATTGCATACTACAATGTATGAAATAATAAAAATCATTAAGTGTCATTCTTTTGTCTTAACGAAACTTCACATTGCTCTGTGAGTGATTGCTCATATCTGAGTGTAGAGTTTCTTTTTTTCTTTTTTTTTTTATGCGTAGGTTGGTATCATGAAAGAAAAATATGATCACCGATTGCTGTTGAAGCATTTGCCTTCCGACTTCCGACAGTTCCTGGACCATATCCTTACATTAGACTACTTCGAGAAACCAGACTATGCCATGTTATCTGGTTTATTCGAACGTTGTATGAAGCGAAGAGGTATAAAAGAGAACGATCCCTTCGACTGGGAGAAACACTTCACGGATAATTCTGTCACCACCACAGTCACCACATCGCCTGCCGTCATATCCAAACCTCCTCTGGCCGGGTGAGTCTCAAATTACTGTTTCATTTCACTAAATATGTCGAAGTGTAATAATAAAAGTATATAAATTCTCAAAAATACTAAAACTCTGCTTATCAATTCTTGCACATCTTTTAATAGTTTTTAGAAGGGATAATGTTATATTTTAAAAGAAAGAATAAAACATGTAATTTTCGGGTTTTCTCTAGATTAATAAGTAACTTAAGGAAGATATGAATTTGAAATATTATATATAGATCATAATGGATATTTTACATCCAAAGCCGGAAGTTTCTACTTCGTGAAGTTGCCAGCCACTTACAGTATTGTTCAATTTACGCAGCCAAAAGCACGCAATTTGCAACAATTTATTACTGCTTCTTCTTTGGGCTGACCATTTCTGAATTTTGGTGTTTCTTATCTTCCATACCTAATAGGATCTAAATCAGATCAATAAGCGCATGCTTTGGCAAAACGCTTACCAATTAGGGCTGGCATGTCCTTATCGTTTTGATTTGTTAAGTACTTTTCTCTGAACGACGCACCACTCATTGCCAAACATAAATGTTCGTGCTAAATATAATTAGATGACGACTACTCTAACGATATAAAAGATTAATTATTTTATATATAATGAGTATAATATCAGAGCCGGGATAAGGGTGAGGCATGTGAGGTATTTGCCTCTGGTGAACAACCAGAGGGGGGCCAAATTAGCTATGAAAATTATGAATTTCAGTTTAAAAGACAAATTAAGATTTTTAATTTTAAACTTAAGACTACATCACGAGTATTAAAAGAATTTTGTGTTATAAGCAAGCCAGCCGAATTAAAAGAAGAATTAATAATGTAATTTGATTCATAATACTGTTTATATTACTTTCTAAAAGTCATTCTTGGAATTTACTTTTAATGTAATGAGTTGCTTCAAATTCTTCTAAATGAGTATGAAAGGCAACGCAATCACTTGCTATTTGTCACAGCAGATCTGACGCAAAAAGCCCTTTGGAATAGCATTGGGAGACTAAATAACGAAATGCAGCATATTATATAGTATATTAATAGCATATCAAATCGAAATATAGCATAGTATCAGTCTTCATTTTTTGTGTAGAATTTGCCATTGAATCAGATTTATTTAGTTCAATATTTAGAATTGTTGAATCCATGCTTAATTTGATGTATTTCTTATTTAATTAAAGATAGAGTTCTCATTTAAAATAAATTTTAAAAAACTTGGTTTTTGCGAATTTTTTAAAATCTACCCCAAAATAAGGTTATTTCTCCCCCTACTTTTAAATTTTACATTGGTATATTTCCTACTATATTTCTATTGGTATATTTCTTATTTCTATTATTATATTAGGACATTTACCATAAATGAAACAACAACTTAGTGATAATCCAAGTCACACCCTTTAATCTCCTCTAACCAAAATATCTTCATAATTTTCAGCTTATCCCCCTGTCATTTATAGAATCTTCCAAAACTTTGAAGTGTGTTTTGTGAATTGATAGCTGTTGGGACATCAGTGTCATCTTCATCAAAAGGTTTTTGCTATTTTCAATATCAGGTTACGTTTCTTTTTTTTTTTTTTTTTTTTTTTGGTAATATCTACAATATCTTCATTGTGTTTTTTGCGTGTTGCTCACAAATTTTTATAACTTGAGGCATACTCAAAAAATGAAAAAACAAAAGTTATCGTATCACATTTTGATATAAAAAAATCTATGGAAAATTTCGAAATCATCCTGATAATTTTAAAATCTGAATAATTGAAAATTGGTTTCTTTTTTAAAACATGCTAATTTTTTAATGAAGATTACCTAGGCAATCTCTTTAATTCTGATACTGATTCAAAGCAAGCAACACAGTGTGCCATTGTTGGACTTTTTTTTACATCCCCCTATCATTCATATCAGAGCACAAAAGAATGTTCCCTTGAAGCTCTGAAAACCAATGGTCCCATTAGTTTAGATTCGGATGTTAAACTGATGATTTGATGGGATTTCCAATTTTTTTAGATATTCCAGCAAAATATTCTTCGCCCACTTCACTATCGCTTCCCAGCTTGTGTCTTTATTTTTTTGTGTGATTTGTGATAAACTGTAGCATAACCAACTCTTTTACATTTCTTCAGGTGTCAGCTTCTAGAAACAAATATTCCTCCAGCTTTTGAACTAGTTTGTTATTCTTCTTTCCAGATTGTCTTGAACATCGGCACAATTTTGGATTGTTCCTTATAAAAGGGATTCATTATTCATTATTCTTCAACTATATTTCCCCTTTTATATGATAAAGTTATATGTTATAGGATTACGAGATTTCTAACTTCAAGGCAATGGTTTTTATTTAACTTCAAAGGGACGTAATGTTTAGTAATTATTTTTATTTACTAGTATTATCCTCGCGTTTTTTAACATCTGTGTTTCTTATCGTTACTGCAGAAGACTATAGGAAACCTCATTTCAAGTCCTTTAATTTTGTCTTATAACCTTGCTTTAGTTGGAAAAGTTTGATTTATTTGGCTATGGCAAAACACGCTAGGGCTATCTGCCTAAGGTGAGAAATGCCTTCGTAAAAGGTCTTTCTAAGGAAATCTGGCTCGTATCCATATTACACATGGGGATAATTCGAAAACGTCCATGCAGCCAGCCTATTGATCTGGAATCAATTCCAGATCGAATTACCAATTTTAAGCGACTTTACCGCTTGGCCGCTGGTGGGCTAGTGAAAAAATAAAAAACAATCTATAAAACGTTTCTGTCATTTGATTTGGGGTTGGTGATTTTGTAACACTAAAAGTTTTTAATGATTTTGTATTTGAGTCTTTCTTCGTAATTTGAGTGTCATTTGTTGAACGTTTGGTTTTAATAAGCTGCTATAATGAGCTAAATTATATTCTTTGTTATATTCATATTAACAATTTCTGCTTTTAACTATAGGAAGGATACACGGGTGGTTAGGTTTCCTTTCACGCTGAATAAAATTATTCTAAATCTAAAATAAATATTGACTTGCAGATGGTAAATAAAGGTGCAAAATTTTTATGAAATAATTTAATAAAAAACGCATTTTTTAATTGCTGTTTTCATCAGTAAGTAAAATATCAAATAAATGCACCAGAGAAAACTTAACTTTTAAAAAGTAAAGGACTGTATTTGTAATGGTAGACTGCATTAGCAAAGTACCTTGTATCTACAATTAAAAAAGCCTTTTATGTACTTTTACAAGAGCTAAGGAATTAATTTACTAACTGAGCTGATCCTTATTATTGTAGTAATAATTATACTTAATTGCGATTATTTTTATAACTGCGTTTTTTATATTCTTAGCTAATTAAGTAACCCAAAAATAGCTAGCGATTAAACTATTTAATAGTTTGAATTCTTTTACTGGTGTATTTGTGTATTGCCTTGTAGAAAAAATATTTTAAAATTAGTTGACTACAGTGTGTTATAAATATATTTAATTATTTATTATTTACAAATAAAAAGAAGGGCTTAATGTCGATATTATAAATGTAACTTTGTCAAAAACAAGTGATAAAATCTACATTCAGTTATTTTTGGTATTAAGATTTGTAATACTAATTTTAGTTGCATTCCATAAATTAAGGTAGTAAATTCTTCGCGACGCAAATTTCCGCTTTAATGTCGCGACTTCTAATATTTCGTTGTTATCAGATTTTTCCGCAAATGTTGGATAAATCCTTGATTTTCAGATCTTTCCTGGTGTTTTTTTAATTTCCATTATTATTCTTAATATTCCACATAAAAATACATTGCAAAGTAATCCTCTTCCAAAACTAAACTCGACCTTTTCAATTATTCTAAGATTTGCTAGACTTTTGGAATACGAGAAGATGTCGTTTCTTGAAGTTGCATAAAGTAAACCTCCATTATCTATCAGTGGCGACAAAATGTTTCATAGCCAAGTATTATTTTTCTAGTGCTCTTTCTAATGCTGTATTTTCTTCTCCATTTTGCTGGAGGAATGAATAAGATCCCATTATGGAAGCTTATTCATTCCTCCAGCAAAATGGAGGGAATGTGCAACTGAAAATATAATGTATAAAAATACGCGCCAATTAAATAGTCATCTTGATGTAGTATAAAGACATTGAGTATGTTTTTAATATTTTATGGTTTTTTAAATGTAAATTTCAGTTTTAAAATCAAGCAGTGTGTATAATATTTATTTAATTACGCACTATTAAATCGTATTACTGCGTTATTATTTGTGCTTTGATAAGGCTTTTTTCCCCTTTCTCTCCTCCCCTCCCGTTTTGGTGTTTATATGAATCCATGAATTTTTTCCTAGGAATTTTTAGAGTACACTCCAAACCTCGAAAGTGCCGCAAGTTTTTAATATTGTAGCGAAAATTGCTCTTTTCGACCGAGCTCCTCATAGCTTAGCGGAAAAGATGCAGGATTCGAAACCTGAAGGTCCCGGTTTCGAAACCCATCAACGGCAAGATCCCTGATAATTGGTTTTATGTAAATTTCCTTCTGGTTAATATTATCTTATTTATGTAAATTTTCTTCTTATTCTTCCAGAACATTATAAGGTTCTGGAAGAATAACATTATAAGGTTCTGGAAGCTGGTATTCCAGCATGTTCACCAGCTGTATATAAGTAGTTCTTCATTCAGTTCGAATAATAAAAAGGTCTTAAGTTTAGACTTGAGTACTTGCCTGTTCATTTGTACGATCCTTTCAACTACGCGACAATATTTACGCCGTGATCGCAAAACGAATTTTGCTTTTTCCTTTCCTGCGACAAAGTTATTGCCTTACCTGTAGTTGATTTTCTTCCAAGAAAAGCAAGTTTACGATTATCCATTTCAATAGATGTGTTTAATGTAAGAACGTATTAAAGCGTTTTCTTTTTTTTTTTAATAAAAAGTTACTTTTGTAGTAATTTTGCAGGTTTACATTCAAGGCATGTTAAAATATATATATTTGGGAAAATCCTTTTAGGTTTGAAGTTGTTTTCTCAGCATATAGCAGTGCTCCGCGAAGTAACATATTTTACAGGTGAACTGTATTCTTCATTGTAATGACGATTTACTCTCGAAGTTTTATAATGACCTAATGACTCTAAATACATAAAAAATTTCCTCCTTCTCCCTTTAAAATATCATCTGTCTAAAAGTGGTGTTTATTCTTAGTTATGCAGCTTAAGATTTAAAGAATGTATTAAAATAGTTTTGTTGTCACTTATGTACTCGTATTAATTAACTTTTTAAAAAAACATTTTATCTGTTTTTACTTCAAGGTACGTTATTTTAATTATTTAATAATTTTCTTGTGAAACATCTTCAAACTTATATGTAAATCGAGGAATATTCGAGTTTTATTGGTCTGATATTTTTTCCTTGAATTCCAAAATGGTATTCTGAAAGTTAAGGAAGGAAAAAAATAAAGACCATCAAAAAATAATAATAATAAATAAGCACGTTATATGCTGTCTTAATTGGCCATAGATATACCATGTGCAGCTGATTTCACATCATTTATCATATGATATAAATACCATTTCCTGCGTTCAGCAATGGCAGTGACGTGACATATTAAAATGCGTCATGCACAGAATTGTCTGAAAGTAGCGATTATGCATTACTTAGCAACAGTAATAACAGTGGCCTTATCTTGCAACCAAGTGTCGCTTAACATTCTTGAATACGTGGGTTATAATAATTATAGGAATGCTGGAAGCTTATCATCTAATAAACAGTCATATTTTCTGTAAATGAAACCGAATCTTAAAACGAAATTTAAATCTGACAAGAGGATGTCATAAACTGTAATTATGACTGCATCTTATATTAGAATAAAAAGCTTATATGAATAAAACGCAATGTGTATCTTTAAAGAATGCGACATTATTATTTTGCATGTGAGTATGTGCTATGATAGCCTATTAATATTTTATAAAAGAAGAAAGTGTTTGAAGAAATGTGAAAAATATAAAATATTTTTAAATATATAAACTGCAGAATAAGTTTATTGATGCTTAATATTGTAATTCTCATTGTTACGATTTGCTGATGAAACATGTTTTTTATTTATTTAACATTTTTGGAGAAAGAATAAAAATTTTGCAAGTCTTTTTATTGTAACTGTCTTTTTAACAAAATGATTAAATTTTAACGTAAAAGATTGTCTAAGTAATATATTGAAATTATATACTTTTACCGTATCCCAAATCTTCCATTGTTTCATTCGATACGGCTAGATACATTTCTTTTGCTTTGTATTTCAATAACATACTATCTTCTGCTGTATAATTTACACATAGAAATTTATACGGTTATTAAAGAAATATTTTTCCTTATGCTTAGAAAAATAAACGAATAAAAGAACCGTCATCATCAGTGCAATTTATTAATTAAATTTTTAATAATACTCATGAGCAGACTTAAGAGAATTTACACAGTCTTTCGAAATTCTGAAACACTAATGGTATCTGTAAAGCTCGTAATGCCAGAGTGACCAAATCCACCTTAATATATGGAACTAAAAATCACTCTAATATGGAATATGGCCCTAGCTCACAGTCAGACAGGTCGCGCAGCGTGACTTCATACTAGACAGGAGGCAGATGAGAAATCTTTGTGGCAGTGGATCCCACTCCTGCAGCAAGGCAGTTTTCAGTTCCGGGATGATTCTCGAAGGGGGATGGTGAGATGAAATTGTCCTCCCAAGAGCGTCACGGACAGTTACGTTTCTGAATGCACACTTTAAAAATATATTTTTAAGTCAGATGAAGCATAAGTTTCATGTTAGCATTCGTAGAAATGCATAAATACAAAATTTGTACGTTACAAAATTAATTTTTATACCATCCCTTAAGTCTCCGTATTTGCGTCAGCCAAAAAGTGCTTTAAGTTTGTAGGTATATTTTAATTTTATAACAGTTATTTTAATTTAATTGTAGCTTTCTATCGATTCTTGTTTCAACTTAAAACTCCGTACCAGAATGAGTTTTTAGAGTCGCTTTGAATGCAAATGAGTAAGAAGTAATAGTTAAGGAAGGTTCAACTTACTTTGAGAGAGAGCTAGGAATCCTGAACATCGCGTGTTTGCCTTCGAGCAAAGTCTGTCTAGAAGCTGTTACTCTCGGCCGTATATTACGTGCCTTCTGATATTCTTCAGCTAGTTGAAATTAAAAGCCAGCTACGTTAGATTGTAATAGCTTCGACTAAGTCTCTTAGTTAGTTATAGTTAGTTCTCATTTTTTATTTTGATTTCAAGCTTGAGTGAAGGCTTTGTTGTAAGTCCGATTAAAGGGACAACTGTTTCATCTTATTGTGGTTGAAATAAAGGGTAAATAGAGTTTATGACCTCTGTTATTTGAACTCAGCGATAACTTGCTTGAACTCAGCGATAACTAAACTCAGCGATTTGAACTCAGCGATAACTAAACTCAGCGATTTGAACTCAGCGATAACTAAACTGCCTTGCTGCAGGAGTGGGATCCACTGCCACAAGGATTTCTCATCTGCCTCCTGTCTAGTATGAAGTCAAGCTGCGCGACCTGTCTGACTGTGAGCTAGGGCCATATTCCATATTAGAGTGATTTTTAGTTCCATATATTAAGGTGGATTTGGTCACTCTGGCAATACGAGCTTTACAGATAATCATACGTGCATAAAGTGAATTTTGAATGGTACATCTCTTTTTCTGTTATACACGTATATTCATAACAAATTTCATTAAATTCCACCATTAGTGTTTCAGAATTTCGAAAGACTGTGTAAATTCTCTTAAGTCTGCTCATGAGTATTATAAAAAAGTTAACTAATAAAGTTTAATAGATTTCTCAACATTTACTTTAGTATAATAAGAGCGAGGAACTCTACAAGTTACGTTATATTGACAATCAATATAATCTAATAACTAATCTTGATTAGTTTTGCATATTATGAATCTTTTTTCTCTTAAAGCTATAAAGTAAGAAAAAACTTAGAGCTCTGTTTATAAAAATTAGAAAATAAATGTTCATAAAATTGTAAATTAGAGCTTTGTTCATAAAAGGCTATAAAAAATTTTAATTTCTTGCATTTCTTATTAAAGCATATCACACGTCTCAAGTTATCATAGTCTAAAAGCCTACAGCCTACCTTACTTGATTCATTTCTTAAACTAACTATGGCTATACAACCAGCCCCTTAAAAAGTATTAAATCCTATAAATGTTTTTCGAAAGACAGTTGCAGTGGCATTCTACTACTAATTGATATTTTGTTTCTGTGAGAGTTAATAAAACTTTAAACAAGAACTAAAATGCTGGAGCACATCATGTTTTAAGTTTACTAAACATTCTGTCAATATGAATACGTTTTTTAATTCTCTGTAATCCACTGCTTGATAGAATTATGTTTTCCTTCATATAAATTTATTCATTTTCTTGCAATATTTTTACCTTAGCACCGTTCCTCCTGGTACACATGGCACTGACAATATGCTGGACGATAATATCATGGCAAGCTTCGAAGATCACGGAGAAAATTATAAGATGGACGACATGGGTGGCAAAAGAGAGACTTCGAAGGAAAATTTGGCTAAAGTTTATTACCCCGCAGAGGTGATCGAAGGCGGCAGAATGCCAGACAATGCGCATCCCAGACATCTCAACGAGAACAACAACAACTATTACGCCAATAATAATGCCATCAAGGCCGACGAAGCGCCTCCGAATTCTAAATTGGAGGTAGCCAACTTTTATTCTTTTTATTTTTATTGCTGTCTTTCTATTTAAATCCATCCTTATCTATTTTATATCAGCAGAAAGCGAGTTTCCCTTTAATGAACTTGTGTCAAATTGTTTCTAACTCACGATCTTAAAGAAAATATCGTCTTGTGTTTTCTGTTAAAGAGCTTAGCCATGTAAACTATTTTCGTTGTAAATGGATTGCTAACAGAAGATAATATTTTGACAGCAAAGCTGCAAATCTTTGACAGTAAATAAATATGAAAAAAATCTTTTTATGCGAAAAATATTTTGCAAATTCCTACCTCGCGTTAAATTTTATTTCTTATTCAGATCTAAACTGCCAAAGCCAAATGGTACTTTAATATTCAGTTACTCAGCTTTTGTATATCTGCGCTTACTGAACGAAAGGGTATTAATCGATTCATCTCTTACCAGCTCTTAGTCATAGAGTTGCATTTTTGTTGTTAGTGAGCATAAACTGTGCTTTTTTTTATGTTGAACTTTTTCGTTATTTTATTAAAAGAATGCTAATAAAGGAAGCAAGGAAATTTTTAGGTGTTTAGATTGCACCATGATTAAACGGTAATGGTGTCATAGATCATCAAAAGTCATCTTCTGCATTTCCGATGCGACAAAAATTTAGAAAGGGACGTTAATTATATTGATGTATTGAAATATGTGATTATGCTTGATCAATTTATCGTATAAGTTCAGTTCGTTTCAGAAGCTTTCGAAGAACATTTTGACTTTCAAATTAAAGCGAAACCATGGCAGTTATTCTCGTAGACGACTGACCGGTTACTGAGAATATGTAGAAACATCGGTATTTGAATATCACCTATAGCTTTATTCTCAAAGCAATCCCTTTCAAAGTATGCAAATATCTTCTAATGAAGTACACAAAAATTCTCAAGGAGGATTTCGTGAACGGAATGTTAGGAAATATTACCCAATTTCAAAAACCACAAATCCAAGTTTATGGTTTCTGAAACTATGTAGTCTTTTTAAATGCTCAGTTTCTAAAGCCATCAACATTTAGACTATTTTATAAAAAAATAGTTCTGTCGTAAAAGTAAAATTCTCAAACGCGATAATATAATATGTGGGCTTCGCGAAAATTGAAAAGTCGAATATTCTTTCCTTTCAAATTATATAAAATTCCTTTATAGTTATGCCGTTAATATATTACCGTTGTAAATGATAATTTTGCATTGTAATGAAAACTAAACCCTGTTGTTTTGTCATTCAGATACTAAATTTTATGCAAACTAAAATATAAATAAAGTACTAAAACGTAAATAATAGTTTTATTCACACTACCAGTTTAACATTTTTAGTATTCCTTATATTTATTTCTTCGGTACTTGTGACCAATACATAGCTAAAAACACCACCCGTAGTTCGGTAACTCTAAAATCTGTTCCGGGTTCTTCCACAAAAATTATATATTTTTCTAATGTTCTCTTCATACCCGCCTGAGCTAAATGAGTATGGTATTGGTTCTTTTATTTCTTTCTATGTCAGCTTTGATCCTAAGACTGGTGGTGACGCGCATAACGCATGTGGAGAAAGGGGCAGAAAAATGGAGAATTAAGCTGCAACGTAGCGCTTATCGTAATTCGTATGGAGGTGAAGACAATCTATTTGATACCGTTATGAATACGATTATCAAAGAATAATTGCCAGAAATCAAAACACCAAATTCCATACTTAGTTCCCAGTTTATCGGCAAATACCAGGTAATCAAAGAGTATCATTTCTTCATATTTGTCTTAAAGCTTATAAGGTTCCTACCTAGACTTTACAGCTAAGTGTGCGGAACCTTTAGAACTGATAAACGAATAATCGCTTTAGTTCAGAAGAGAGACACGTAAACTTTTGAAGGGTTGATTACCCTTTATTGCTCAAAATAATGTTTTACAGATGGCCCTTTCTCAGGACGTACAGAACAGCCTCCAGTTGGGCTTAAACTCAAGAATACTAAGACATAAAACTTAACTAATACTTAACTAAAACGATATAGCCGAAGCTATCGAAATTCTACGTGAGTTGGCCCCTTAAATGCTAATTAAACGGCGAAGCTATCAAGGGCCTGAAATACGGCCGAGCATAGTAATAGCTTAGAGAGAGTGTAGCCAAACGGCAAACGCGCTGGTCAGAATCCCTGGCTCCCTAACAAAGTCAGAGGAACTTCGACTTTAAGTACTGCTCTTCCTTCATTTGCATTTAACTGCGATTCTAAAAACACACTATGGCAGGAAATTTGTAAGCTGAAATTAGAAGCGACAGGAAAGTAGCTTTAACTTAAAAGATAACTATTAACAACTTAGGATAAACCTTACAAGCTAAAGAATTTAGTGCTTAAACACGCGGTTTCTCACCAGACAATTCTGATATACTCGATTATTAGCATTCGATTAACGTTGGCCTTTTCTGTGTAAACATTAATTTGCAAACAGTAGGTAAAACATAATAGTACATTTAAAGATGAAGGCGCGTCATGAAATTCATGTTTATTGCCAAGATGCTGAAAAAAACCTGTTATACGTGCAGAGCTTATTACTTTCCTATTCAATATCGAATCTTCTTAACACAATTTCTTGACACAATGGTCTTCTGCTATTCAACTTTAAGTCAGCGTGGTTTAATTTACGCTAAAGGTGCATCAGTAAATATTGATGGAAAATTTTTTTCGTCAGACGATAACAAAATACAAAATTTTCCTTATAAGGTTTTATTTAGTTCAATTACGGTGTTTCACCTGTGGTTCGAATTTTGTTATCGATCTTTAACCTACTCCTGATGGTTTTTAAACCACTTCCGGGGCTATCGAGTTCAAATTTTGTACACACTACTTACCAATGACAATGCAGTGTGATGAAGTGTTTTCCCCTAAAAAAATTCGATTCAGAGTTTTTTATTTAATGTTTAAATGATTCTTTGCACATCTCTTCGCTTAACAAATGAACTAAGCGTACCAAAATTTTACATTGAAGACTTTTCATTGAAAAGACTTTTTCTCGCTGTACCATCGTATACAGCGAGAAAAAGTCTTTTCAATGAAAATTGTAACTTAATTTCTAAAATTTTGGAAATCACTCGATTTTTTTAAGATTGTTTATGATTTTAAAATTGCAGCATCTAAAAATGTATCGGATATAAAGTTTTGAAATTTTGAGATTATTAAACAAACGTTTCGCCCTGTTTGGAAAAAAAATGACTAAGAAATGTTAATTGAGCAATATTTTATATTTAAAAAATATATATATATATTGTTAACTAAAGCATATCGGAGGAGGAAAAAGAATTTTTTTAGAAAAATTGGCGTTTGAGTTTTCTATCTTGGCGCACTTAAAAGTGAATTAGCAATATTCGTTTTTTCATTTTAGCTTGTAGTAAAATGCTTGTTAAGTAACAATGTTATTATATCCAATTTCTGGAAGTGAATATTCAAAGCTATTTCTTCATTCTGTGAATGTCGTTCAGTTATTTTTCTTTGTTTCATAATTTTTAGCCCAAAGGTTGCCAAGAAAGGTTAATAATTTCGTTTTGGATTAATTTTATTTCACCTATTAATTTTGATTTCACTATAAACGGCGAATAACTTTTTAAATTGTTGTCAACAAATATTAGAACCCTGTATTATATTTAAAGAAATTAAATAATGAAGAATCTGCATAAATGTATGTATGTTTCTCGCATTGTGATGAAACAACGGTACATAGAGACAATGAATTTTGAATGACGTACATCTGCACCCGAATATGGGCATTTGGAAGCCAAATTTGGAATTTCTTTTATTATCTATTTCATATTTTGTAAAGTATTTATGAGTTTTTGATTAACAAACGGAACGATTTTAAAGCGATCAATGGCAACACTGTGCGAAAAAAAAAATTTTTATCTCTAGCGCGCTAGACTGTGTATCGGAAATTTTAAAAATATTAAAAATATGCTTTTAAATATATTTTTATATTGTAGTTGAATTGAATTTAATGGTTTAAGTGCGAGGAAGATGATATTTGATAAATAAAGGTAACACGCAAAACGTTAAAAAAACGCCTCTTTGGGCGTAATGTAAAATCTGAAAGCTTCCAGATTTTTTTTATTAATTTTATACTCACTGTGTTTAAAATCACTTTGACAAATAAACTTTTTTCCCGTTTATTCGAGTTTTCATCAATATGAAATGAAAGAAAATTATAGTATCGAAAGTGGTTAACCAAAAGACAAAATTATAATACAGTCAAAAGTCGTTAATTCGGACACCCATAATTCGGAATGATCTATAATCCGGACCTCAAAACTAAAAACTTTCTGCGCATGCGCCGCGTTGACACATGCGCATAGGCGTTTACGCGTGCGCGTAAGACCCTTTACGACTGCGCATATGAGTGTGCGCAAGTGCAGAATACGTTTTCGCGTGCGCGTTTTATTATAATGGACGTATAAGCTAAAATTATCTAATTATCTATTTCAGTTAATGTTGATGATTGCGTTGTTCCTTAATTTTCGAATTGGATCCGGCTTATTATTTTTTGCAGACTGTAAGAGCAATTTTATAAAAGTAAGCTTAAACTTTCGATTATATCAAATAGAATTTCCGATATATATTTGTTAATATGTAAAGGATCTAAAGCGAAAGTATGTTTTGAAATCCGAAATCTGTTTATCAATTTCACGCTGCTCGGCGGGGGGATCGCCGCGCGCCGGGCGCGTAATGAATTGGAAGTTGATCTGTCAACATTATCTTTATCTTCAGCGCAGATGTTTTTATTTTATTTGGCTTATAATTCCTTACCAAATGTAGTATTTCATCTCGATATGCTCCGTCTTTGATATGATTTAAAACAAGTTCCTCGTCATTATAATTCGCTTTCGATAGCGAAGAAAGTAACAGAGGTTATTGAAAACGAAAAAATTTCGATTGACAAATTAGTCGGTGTTCTCGACACAGCAATTATAGGACTTGAACAGCGTAACTTTGTAACTGAACAAGAAATTATGTCTGTTTTTTTAATAGAATTAAAGAGAAAGTATTATCACATGAAACGAAGCAAAAACTTAAACAACTTACATTGAAAGAAATGTTTAATAAAGTAAACAAATAAATATTAAGCTTTTTCTTTTTGCAAATTTTGATACCCTTTAGATCATAATTGTTCTTTATTTCATAAATTACGGTTTCATATTTTTAATTTTAGAATTTCTGCATGCCATCTTACGAGATTTAAACTGATGATCTATAATCCGGAATCGCCGAAGTCCCGACGAGTCCGGATTAACGACTTTTGACTGTATAGACTATAATATTAAGTGATACATTTTATATCCAACTTATTTATGACTAGTTTAATAACCCTAATTATTTATCTTATAATTTACTGTTTGTGTTTTAATAATGACTAAAACTTTCGTCATTGATAACATGTAATTGGCACTAAAAAACTGAAACTAAAATACATTTTATAGGCTGTTTTTATAGAATAAGCTTTTATTTAAAATGGATATAATAATAAATGCACTAAATGCAGAAACATAATTTGGCATATAATATAATGGGAATAATATAGAATAAATAACACCATAGTACGCGTCGCTTATTAAACTCAATTCTGTTCCAAGCGTATTTGAGTCTATTAAGCGGATGAGTTCAGTAGACGACGATTTATGTACTGAAAACCTTGATATCAGTTTTTAACATTTTAAATAAAATAGAAGTAACCTTTTAAGTCAAAATGAATATTTAAAGTTTTTATAGCTACACAATACAATCGTATCCGGTGGCATTCAATAGGCAGATCAGATATAAGAATGTTGTTCGCAAATACTTACCAAACACAGAAAGGATCTTAAAACAAGCGTTCTATGAAGCCTATATATTATAAATTAGAAGCTTTGGAGTGAATGTTATTGATTACGTTTAAAAATCGAAATCAGCGTAAATGTTGACACAACAAAGTTAACTCTTACATTAAACTTAAGGTAATATTAAGGCAGATTTTGGAATCAGCATTGTATTTCTTCATTAATATATATTTGCTCTGAATAGATTTGTGATACTTGAATACTTTTTTTTTCTTTTGCTTTTTAGCAAACCGTAATTTATTCGCCTAATTTTGCCTCTTACTGTTTCAAGAATTGGAACTTCTGCTGTAGTTATTTTTTATCAAGATTATTAATTTGATATGAAAATTTTGCACTGAAACTCTGTAACTTATTCTAAATTGAATTTAACGTGCTAAGAGGAAAACGTAATTGCTAAAGAAATTATTATCGGCTGTGCATCAAAATGTAAAAATTTAGCTTTTATTGGAGTTATTAACATTACATTACGATATATCATTTGGGGAAATCTGGAAATATTAACTAATGTTTATGCGTATTCTTCTTTTGAAATTCGCATCGGTAACGAAATTTTCATTGCTGTTTCGAAACTGAATTGCCTGACTTCGAAAGGATGTTAATAATAATTATTAATTATGAATCCATAGTGGATTTTCAAGCATTACAAATATGTTTGTATTTAAAACGTTGAAAATTCGAAATTTTAACCGCCACTGGAAATTTTATGAACGTAAAAGTACTTAAAACTTCTAGTACTTGAAAATGATATATAAATCAATTTTAATTTAATTTCAGATTAGAAAGCTAAAACATTTTGTACGATATCCATATTTCCATTTATTTTCTTATGTGTTCCAATAGGTATACGTAATGATATAAATGCTTTTCACCTGCGGATTTGTTGAAATCATTTAAATAATAACATCTTCTCTCGGAGAACATGTCACATGTAGGAAATTTAACGTCGTTTAATAAAACACATTGTAGAATAAACATTATAAAATGAATTTAATATTCATAAAGATGTAAAGTTTTGTTAAAAATGGAAAAGAATGTTAAAAAGGGAATGCTGTACTACTCGTATTATCTCCAAATTATGAAAAACAAAAACCTCTCGACTCAGCAACACATAATGACTTCAAGAAAATCTTCATGTGTGTATTTAAGAACTTCATTAGTGCCGTAGTCTGTTAACTTTTTTATGGCGTCATAAGTAAGCTGCGCAAAAAAAGGGGGTGGGGGAGACAGTTCTAGCTCTCCCGTTTTACTGGCCGATTGACGAAATTCGAATTGCGTTTTTGATGTCTCGAAAGCGCGACTTAGGATATGTATTAGATTTATATATAGCATTGTTTTAGTGTAGGTATTTTGACACAAAATCGGAATTTTTCTGAAATGACATACCAATTTTTTTTCCATATTTCGATTCTACGACTCAAATAATGCCTAAATATTAAATTTTGTGAAATCTGGTGCGGAGAAATTAAAAAATTTATCATGGCACATTTTTTTCAGTTTGCACCAAGAATAATTCACTTGACGAGTTTCTTAATTTTTAGCAATCTATTTTCTTTTCCTTTTTTTCATTGTAGACGAGCAGAAAGAAGTCATCGTTCATACTTTAAAATAATTTTAAGTGTGTAAACCACACTTGGCGTTATTATCGCTTATAATAAATATGGCAAATTTCAAAACGCTTGAATAAAAACTTCGGATTTTTTGCAGGTATGCTTAGAAATACATCCGCTTTATGATGATGGTAAAATTTTTATAGATTTATAATTTATTTTTAAGATGATGGAAAAATTGTTTTCGAAAAACGTACAAAAATTATTTAAAAATACAAATTTAAAAAATAAATCATAAAAAATGGGCGAATTTTATTTGGAATCAAACAAAATTCCGAAATGTGGAAGAAAAAATCAAATAAATTTAATAAAAAATAGGTATTAATAAATGTATAGGCGGTTTGTGGGCAGGAGAACACAAAATAGTCTGGATGACCCTCCTCCCCACATTCACAGTTACCATTCTTAAGCCAAAGCGGCAGAGGTATGAAGGGAAGGGCCCATGATCAGTGAGGAAATACGTCATGTAATTGATATTAATTTGGATTGTTGTCTTGACCTTGGGAATGTGATTGTAAACACGTCTCTCTGTGGAGGCTTGATCCCAGCGTTCTTGCCATATTGTTAGGAGCTGATGGAATGTCCGACTCTTTAGGTCCGAGACTGGCCTAAGGGTCAGGACTTCTCGCAAAAGGGGATGAATCCTCTGCTTCCTTTGCGACAACATCTGCTCTCTCATTCCCTTCTATTCCCGTATGAGCGGGCACCCAGATGAGTGAGGGTCTTTGCAAAGTAGGCATGTAGGTTAGAATGTCTCTAATGCTGCTGACGATAGGGCTGCGAGAACGAATTTCAGCTATCGCAGCGAGGCTTGAGGCTGAGTCTGTGTAGATGATATTGGGCACTGTGGGATTATACTTCAGGTGAAGAAGAGTTGCTCTGATTGCTATGAGCTCCGCCTGAAAGACAGAGTTTACAGTAGTTAGGGGAGCCTTCTGCAGTACCGAAAGGCCCGGGTTCGAATCCCAGGGATGTATATATCTAAATAGTATATGTAGCGCAGAAACTCTGCTCGCGTGAGTTGGTGGAAGGGTGGGAGACCCTAGGGCTACTCTCCGGGCTGCTTTCCCTCAAAATTGGGGGGAAGTAGAAGTCCAACCTCCTTGAGGCTCTGGCAACCATTCTTCCATGAAATTCATGGACAAGATAGCAACAACATTAGCGTAGAAAATCGTAGAATATAAGTGTCCAAGAATCTCCCGTTGTAAAAAAAATTCTCGGAATCTAAGGAGTTGATATTCTTACTTTAATGTGTTTACTTTTATTTGATGTAGCGAAAGTTTTTATGTATTTTATTTTTCGTAACCTTGAGAGCAATATACACACTTCACTTTTTCTATACTTTTGTTCAGAAAATGGAAGTTGAAGAGGAGGACGAGGCAAAGGAGCATGTAAATGGAGCCGAGCCTGTGGAGGATCCTGCTAACCAGCAGGGAACGCCAGATACCGATCGCTGCAAAGATGCCAAATTGTGCATCGCCGACCATCCATGCCTCTTCAAGGATGAGTCTGGATTCGGCAGCAGGGGAACAAGTCCCCGACCCAAAGAAGGAGATGGTGGGAGCAGTCGAGAAGTGTCCTATAGACATCCAGGTGCCAGTGAGGGGACGAAGCAGCAGCCATTATCCGTGCTGTCAGCTACAGAATCGAAGTTGCTGAGAGAACCGAGGGAGCACAGACATCGTCGGTACCATTCAGGATATAAATCCCGATATTCTAGGGATATTTCTATCACTCAGATGGCACTGGCTGAAGATGATAACATATCTGCCTTACAACAGGTTATTTCATTTATTATCCACTATTCTTGATTAAATAAGTAATTAATATTAGTCTGCACACAGGATGTTTCAAAATAAGTATCTGTTTTTGGCGTTATTAGACGTGTTTGTTAAAAAATATCGTACTGGCATAAGGATATATTCTTCTGATCCATCTATATGTGCATTTAAAAATGTTAGTTGTTTGTTGTTGCACGAAAAGTATTTGCTTAAATTGACAGATGCTTCTTATTGCTGTAGTGGTAATATATGAATGCGAATAATAATAAATAATAAATACAGATAATGCAGTTACAGATAATAACAAATAAATAATAAACAGCTAATATGGATAATATTAAGGTCGTACAGAAATGAATGACACAAATGCTGCCACAGAGCGGAATACAATTTATTAATCAAAAACTGATAGTACATCAGTTAGAAATAATCCCCGCCCATGTCAATACACTTCAGCCATCTGGCTAGGGGTCCGAAGGTCTTTGGTAAACCAGTCTCTGGGGGTGTTGGTGCACCACCTATGGACAATTTCATGCAGTTCGGCAGAAGATTCAACATGTTGGCCCCTGACTGCGTCCTTCATCTTGTCAAGCAAGGCGTAGTCCGAGGACTTGGTTTGAAGTCCGAGGTCCACCCACCTTGCACACACATTTGTCATCTCCAAATCACCATGCACAATCGCCTGCAATGTTTCTTGCGCACGATCTATCTCTTCTTACATCTTGTTGAACGTTATGCGCCTGTTCATCATGATCAAATCCGAGAGGGCTGCCACATTTGCTGCTGTATGCGATGTTGTTGGTCGTCCCGCGCTGACACCTTTGGCTGTGGTCTCTACTCCACTGCTGAACTTGGACAACCAACGGTTTACGGTACGAATTGAGGGTGCTCTGTTCCAGCACACCGACACCATGCGATGATGGATCTCACCATCATGTGTCCCTTCCTTCCATAGGAACCACGCTGTCCAACGCTGAACGTGATAGTCACCATCCATCATTGCTGTCCACGCTCTCAATGGCGATGGCGAAAGGGACGGGCGCTGACTTATACCACTCGCTTGCGGCCAGCGCCATTTATGCATTCTGAGTAACTCACCCGCCCCCCTTATGTTTATTGCACTAGTTTTCTCTGTCGCATAGCTTAATAGTTTCGTTGTGAGAGCCGTTGTGTCAATCATTTCTGTACGATGCAACTAATAAATTTCTGAGAGTTTTCTTGGTGTATATTTTTATAAAAGAAAGAGCCCATTCTGTAGGGTGCGTTAATATATATGTATAATTTCTTATTAAATGCTTCATATGTTGCATGTCTTTGGTTGCCTACATCATTAACTCGGATGGTTCTCTCTAAAATTGTTGAATATCTGCTCTATTATATATATTATATATATATACAGTATGTGGATAGTTGTTAAGACTGAAAATAAATTTGTTTTTTAGCTCAAGAATAATTTTAAGATTAAGATTAATTAAGATTATATTATTAATTTCTGCCACAGGTCACAAAAGGTGGTGCAGCTGCTGTAACACTAGCATCCAAGTGGCAAGTCTCCTTCGATGACAGCGAAGAGACCGACAATGAAGTGGAAGCCAAAGACAACCTTACCTCCCCTGAACACCGCCCCGTCAATGCTCAAGAATCGCCCTCCAAAATATCTAGTTCTCATGCCGGTCACTTTTGGCCATCTTCTCCGGATCCTGTTCTCACAGTCCAGACTCATCCTGGAAACAAAGGGGCCCAAATGACATCTGTCAAAAAGAACTCTGCCTTTTTATCTGAGCAAAAAATGGATGTCACTGCAGTCAGAAACAGAATGTTCTGGAGGATGAAAAAACAGAAATGCATTAGGAGAGTTACCTCCCAGCCTATTAAATTAGCCAATGATCGTATCGCACCACTAATCGAAATAGAAGAAGGAGAAGGACGACATTCAGCCCGTGGCGTGTTGTTCCATGATGACATGACAACTTGCGGTCGTTCTTGGAGCTGTCCGGAGTTGTCTTTGGGCCTCTATTCCCTCCCTGGATCGCCGATGAAACACAGCGCATCTGAAGCCAATCTTCAAGATTTAGTCAGAAGTAGCGACAGAATTCTGGAGAAAAAGAACGTGCCTTCACGACGGCATTCTGCCGAAATTCATTCAAATGTTGAAATTTTAAAAGAAAATGATAAACGATGGTCTGTAGGGTCAACCTTTGAAAAAATAGCAAAAAAGATTCCTGAAAAGGACGTTGTTGAAATCAAAATTGATTCAAAATCTGTTGAAGATGCACATAATGAAGGCATCAAATCAGCACCTATCCCATCAAGTGTAAGACCTAAAGGAATCCTCAGGAAATCTGGTTCTGATCAACCTCTATCCCAAGCCAGTCATAAACAGGAAAATGAAAAAGTATTCAGCAACAAACTCATAGTTACAACAATTGAATGGGAAGCAAATGATAAGGTAGGAAATGTCGTCAAACATGAAGTGGAGAGTCCAACTTTAGAAAAACAGTCACCTGCTACTCCAGTAACGGAAATCACACGTCATCACTTAGATGAACCCTCCGTATATTTCGATGCCCCTCAGCCTAATGAAGAAGATTCTGATGATCCGCGAAGAGCTGGGAATGGAGAAGAAGAAGAGTACGACACACCGCCTAAAGATGACGCTCATTCGGCTAGTAACATATCAGAGACGAGATACGATGATGCACTTCAATTTCGTAAACGGTCGCCGACTCCTCCAAATCTGAGGGCTGTGAAATACTCTACGGCTATCCGCCGGAAACTAAAGGATGTTGATTTTCATGTTGCCGAAGCAGTGATTGAGGAAGACAAAGAAGGTGGCTCAACATCGGACTGTCCATCACCTCGCAGGCAAGATTCCGTGACTCAGACACATCCAGCCTCACAACAACCTTTTTCTCGTTCCGGTAGTGGTAGCGAGGACATTATGCGCTCAACCATCCCTATCCATATGATGGACACTTGCCGCGAGCCAACTCCAGAGACGGACTCTGACAGCTGGAGGGTGGCCAAAGGTGGATCAGAGGAGAGTATACGGCAGCCGTATCTGCTGAAATCCTATAATCGCAGACGACCGCGATCTATGGTAGAAGGCAACGCTAGATTTGTATGTCCTAGGGAGAATAATGGGAAGTACGGTGTGGACTTTGTATCTAAACCTTTGCGTACAGGAGAAAAAGTGATACAAAAGCCAGTGATGTCACAAATGTATACTATGCGAGGCGCAAAGCAAAGAACGCCTCCAGAGCTTCAGGATGGTGCCAGAGGTGGAATTCCGAGTTCAAGAAGCGCATCTAGCTCTCGAGAAGAATCAGAATATGTAGAGACCAATAACAAAATGCCGCTTACTCAGAAACGCAGTGACTTTTTTACGCGAAGTATAAGTTGGGACGCCAAGTTTCGCAAAGAGCGCTCCCCGAATTCCCGGAAACCCTCTGAGGACAAATATGTCCGCACGGATATGAACGATTGGAGGGGTCGACATTCCCGGAGGCGTCATCGGGCAGGTTTGTCTGGTGGCGGAGAATCCCGCATCCCAAGGCCTAAAGGTCGGCTGAAGGTAGCCGATTCAGAGGAACAACTGAGTAACGAGTTCCAGCAGCAGGAGCAGAGATGTCCAGCTGTTAGGTCGTGTAGTGGCAAACAACAAAGCGAGTCGCGAGTGTTGTCTCCAGTGTCTTCGTCCCTTCCTACTCTTCAGAATGACTCGGGAGTCAAAGTGGTGCATCCAGAGTTTCACAGAAACTGCAAAAGTGAAGTTCTTATTCCTAGGTTCAAACCAGAAGGGGGTGCGGCTTACATGCAACCTAGGTAGGTAAGATCGCATTTCTTGTTTTTATTGAATTTATCTATTGGCTTGGTGGCCAAACAACGAGCACTTGGTAAATGTTTTTAATGAAAAAGTCAGCTTTCACGCCTGATTATTTTATGCAGTAAATTATTTCGCTGTGTTTTTACGGTTGCTACAACTAAGTATTGCATGTAAGGGAATTCTTAGGGAAATAAAGCACCATATAAATTAAGACGTTTATATTTTGTGCAAAATTCTATCGCTATTGTTCAAAAATGTTTTGTTATTTTCAAGTTATACTGAGCACTAGAAACAATTGAAAGATTATTTAATGTAATATTTTATGAAAACATAGTATTTTTAAAATATCATCGATGATTTACGTCAACTATATTAAACATTTTACGCTAGGATAGATTTTAAGAATAGGTTTGCTTTTAATTTATAAAACAAATGTTTTTTTTTTTTTTTTTTTTATATATATATATATATATATATATATATATATTATATATATCAAAGTCTTTAAGCCATTCTGTCAAATTTACAGTGGTGAAGCCCTTTAAATTTGCATTCTGCTATTGTCTGGAAGCTCTTTTTATCAGGCAAAAGTGTATTAGCAGAAGCATGTGGCAATTTAATAAGAAAAATGACTAAAAGGAGTGACATTTATTTCGGTTTCTCCTGTTAACTTAAACAAACACCTTTAACTATGTATATGCCCCATCGATGTGTAACCAGACATATTTTTTATGTGTTCTTTGCAATGCAGGGTTATCAGGGCGGCCTTAAAGTAATGCTTTGATAATACGTTTAATTAATTCTTGTTTTGGGATTCACTTTTCTACATTCAGCGACTTAAAAACCTGTTGCGACTCCTGAAGTGTCTTATGACATTTTCCTTTGTAAAGGCCGTTTTTGAAAGATTTTATGTTTTTCTGTTATGTAAATGTTTTTTATACTGCATTTTGATAAAAAAAAAAAAAAAAAAAAAAGTCCACGCTTCATGAACTGCAATTATATTTTCGTATTTTCCATCAGTCAGGTATATCTCATTAACCCTTTCCGGCACGCTACTTTTTAAAGTCGGAGTTTTGATTTAAAAAAAAAAAAAGTAGGCAGTCTAATTAGGCTTAGAGGAGTACACAAGTAGAATTTTGTGAATATAGCACTTATTGTTTTAATTCTGTCGGTATGCCCAAAGTGGGCACACTGATTGAATGTTTCAGCACTTCGAAAAGAGTGCTGACACGAGCATTGTTGTCAATGAACTGACCGATGAGATGCAGAGAAACAAAGGATACAGACTCTCAGTTATCCTAGATTATCGGTGAGCCCGGTCTGGACACACCTGGGTTCGCCGTACGATTTTAGGCAAGATTAAATTTCAAGGTAAAAATTTAAAACTAATATAGAATAAGGATTAATATAGAATTAGCATACAGCGAAAACAATAACATAGAAATTTCTTTTCAAACAGTTCCTTTTATACACTAAAAAAAATCTAGAATTTCTTTCAAAAATGAGGATCTTAAAAAACTAAATATGGCTAAAATATATGGACTGATTCGTGTTGAGCTGCCATCTATTATAAATAAAGAAGGTTCAAAGTAACCTATAGTAACCTCTTTCATTCAATTTTTCTGTGCGTACAGAAGGAAATTTTTAGGTGTGTTCAGACCGGACACCCTGTGCCGCAAAGGGTTAAGGGACCTCTAGCTGTTTTTCTGCCCAAGCCAGCATTTTTCATTAAAATCTGAACGCCATGTTTTAAAGTTATTTCAAGGTCAAGATTTTGATGAATTATTTTCAATTTAATTAGTTAAGATATTCTTAATATCATTTATGTTTTCCTCTAATTCGGAACATTCTGTTTTTCTAAGAGCCATTTGATGCACTAAATACTCTTCTGTAATATTCGTTACATGTAGTGTTCTTAACCTTCTGTAAAGATACGATTTCGAAAACTTTTTAATTTGTCGATTTTTTTTTTCAATTTTAAATCGTGTTACTATTTTGTAGATAGACCGTTAACTCGATCCTTTTTTTTTTATTTTCCACGGTATAAAGATCTTCAAAAATAAAAGAATCCGTGCGTAGTTTTAAAAATGTTTCTTAAACTTCCAGTGAGGGAGAGAATCCGATATCTTTATTGCAATTTGATTTAATTTCCATTTGAAGACTCCTGAAGGTACAATTATTCATGTAAAAATTTTTATCTTGGAAAAGAAATTTAATATACATTGTTGTGGATGTGTCTTAATTTTTTTTATTTTAGGAAGTTAATTTATATACTGCTTTTCAAAAGTGAACTTCTATTAAGACATGAAATAAAGAATATTTGTGTATATTATATGTATATAGTTTCAGGTAAAGGAGCAGTGTCTTAAAAGTATGTCCTGTGAAAAGTATTCGGTTGGAGACTAACGAATGAAAGAAAACCTATTGTTAATTTTATAAGTTTTTCCCATTTTTCCTTTCATTCATCAATTTCGTGCTGCGATCAGTGATCTGTATTTAGGCAGGCTAGCCTTGAAATTTTTTTGTAGGACAGTGTCATGTCCGATTTCTAATAACGAAGTTGTTTATGACATAGTTATGAAACACTGAGAAGAGTTTTTGCATAATTTATTGATACATTGAATCTACTTCAAGCCATCGGATGAACCTCTGGGTGTTCTTTTGAAGGTAATAAAAACTTCTACTGAGTTAACTTTATTTTACTATTCTGCCAAGAAAGCTAGAATGAAGAAGCATAATGGTTATTCATTGATACAATATAATGTGAAAACCATTGCCTCCCGCTGTTGAATGATAACAGAAAGATTTTTCAAACTAGATATATTTATATGCATTGGGAGTATGTGAATATGTAAGAAAAATAAAGAACATTCAAAAGATAAATTATAATTCAAATTAGCAGCGTAAATTAATTTCGCTTCCCTATTCTAAAAATAGTAATCTCTCTTTGCACTGCGTCATTTCGAGACTAATCCATATCATATGACTCTTAACATAATTCTGATAATGTAAGAGGAATTAAAACATCCAATAATAGTTTTACAGGGGTATTAGTTATCCAATCAAAATGCATTGAGAACAAAAACTAACTCAGTCTGAATTAAGATTTCATCCTGGACATAACACACATACTTGCTACTTTTCGATCTAGCTGAACCGCAGTCTGCTGCTTCCTTCCTGTTACAAAGTTATCAAAAATGTTAACATTTTGAAATAGGCACAAATAATGTGCCAAGTTATTTGTGGCCGCAACATATTTACTGAAAATAAAATGAAGATTTAATTTACCGTGGCTGCCAGTTTCTTATTTATTATGGATTAGCATTCTACGCGATCAAAATTCTTGCTTTTCATCACGGATTCAACCTTCTACGTTTTACACAATCAATATTGCAAAGTCCTTTTTTATAAAATATGCGCATTGTTAAGTGTGCAAAGACTAAAGGATGTATATCTGACAGCTTTAACCAAAATAAAGAAAGACACAATTTCTGATACAATTCAGAGGGGGGAGAGTTACTTGATAGTCTTAAATAAGAAAAAAAAAAAAAAAAAAAGATTAAAATGCCCGAGCATATATGCGAGTTAAGTTACATTAACTATTTGAAAAAAATATTCCTACAGATTAATATGAATTCAGTAAATAGATTATTAATTTGACTAGTCATATCTCAGTTGATCTTGCACGTATACCTTTCATGTAATGTAGCGAAAGGTAAACGTTTATAGTCTTCCTTAATCATTTGTATTTCCTTCTTTAATAGAAGTAACTATAAAATTATTTCAAAATTATTATTACAAATAAAACAATTTTTCTTTTATAAAATGCATTAAAGAATTTACTAAAATGTAGTTTATGATTTACATGCATTTAATCATATTCGTAGCTTTTTAGAATAGGCTAAATATTCGGTTTTAGAATAGGCTAAAGTTGTATCACTCTTAAATGTTTTTATTTATGCTTTTCATTACCATTATGTGTTTTTTTCTTATGAAGTAATAAATTTTTTTTTTAAATAAATGGGACTCAAATAAAAATCCTCTTAATTACTTTTTAATTTAAAAGAAACTACATCGCTTTGTTAACTAGTATTTAAAGATTTTTAAAATTACTAAAATTGATCTGGACTACTAATTTTGAAAGTGAATAATGTAGAATGCTGTTTCTAAACAAGCAATTGATAGTTCTGTGAACGAATGAAATTTTAGCGCCAGCTTTAAAGCCCATTCAACGCACATAAGAGCATCGCATCGGGCATCATTAAGAAAAATAGGTGTTCTCACTTGCGAGCAATTTAAACTGAATTTTTATTTTATTCTTCGATAATGCAGGTTGTGTACAATGATGGCTTTTGAGACGTTTCTCGACGAACAACTTTCTGATTTAGGAAGAAGCCGCATTATATAGCCACTTAGCTAAGCGGATTAGCCTAAAAGATATCAGCCGTCATCATGATCAAAGCAATAACGATAGTTTTTTTATGTTGAAAATAGTAGCTTAAAAAAAAGCATATAAACCAAATCAGAGACTGAAGACGTCCGATGCTCGAAAAAATATATAATCAGAACAACCATGATCGCAGCAGTGGCGTTCTCTATCATTCATTTGAAAGCATTCTCCATGCATCCTCGTATTATATCAAGGGATACCATTCGGATATGACTATTAGAAGCTTGAATTAGGTATCGAATTTTGTTTAGGTCTCTGTAGCTAACTTCCAATGCAGCAGAATCATCTGCTATATTGGGTCATACTTGACAGTGACCGATGGGAACAATATTGTGTTTAGCGATGAGTCCTGCTTATCTCTAAATACTGATGACCACTGCATACATATGTGAAAACGTATGGCTAGCGTCCTAATCCAGCATTTGGTATCGGAGGCATATGACCATTAATGGAGCCAATCTCCTGTGGTTGTGCCAACTGACAGGCCATTGAACAGTTTCAGGCCAACTGACAGTCCTCATATATGTCGAAGATATTCGACAGTCAGTCCTGT